TATTACATGTGATAATATAAACAAAAACTTTTATTATACAGGAGATTATACAAAAGCCATTGTTCATTTTCTGTTGGTTCTAAATACCCTATAATGCTGTCATTCTCTTGAATGGTTTTACATTGTCTTGATATGTTTGGTGCTACAGTATACGAAGTTATACTCAAAAATTTCAAGGAAAGAGACACTATGGTAACTACTTTTATGTTGGGATATCTTGTGGTGAAACACTATTTTGCTTAAATGGTTATGTTCTTAACTGTGCTGTTTTGTTGTTATGTCCTCTTTTATCTCAATCTCCTTTTTTATTATTTACTTTTTTATTTTATCTTTTTAATTAAGGGAAAAGATAAATAAAAAGTATCAGGATATATTATAGTAACCCACTTTGATTTCCTATTAACTTGATTTGAAACCCTGTATTGCTCTCGCCATCTTGTTTTGACTGATTTTCCTCTATTCTGTTTTACTTAATAGTACCAAGTTTGAGAGTATAGGCAACAACTGTGAAGACAATAAGATTCACTATGATGCCCATTCTGGTTGACTATTATCTTCTTTTGAAGCCCTGCATGTCTCCAATGTTTTGGTTTTATTGGTTTTGTTCTTTACTGTTTTGTTCAATTTTATAATAACTGATGATATAGGCAATTCTTTTTAAGATAGCAAAAGGCATTATGGTAACCATTGTTGATCACCTTGTATTTTGTTTTTACATTATGTATTATGTCCATCCTTTTGATTTGACTGACTCGGTTTTGTTATGTCACATAACAAAACTCGGTTTTATTCTATTCAGAAAAAAGTAATAAGAACTGTGGGAGTAATAAAACCCAAAATGTGTAATTGTCATTGTAAAAAAGAGAGGAAAAGAAAGTGCTCTAAAGGATATAACTGCATGTATATTTAAGTGTATAAGATAGATAACCATATTACTGAGTTTTGTTGGATCATTGAACAGAACTGTTTGCAGTCTCACTGTTTGAATGTCCACTTTATATGCTTTAATTTTGTAATTTGAACAACTATTTCTAAGATGACCATATGTAATCTATTAACTAGTGATTTCTTACTGCTTATTTTTTTCTGAAATTCTATATAACTTGTACCCTTTTTCTGTTTTTTTCTCCTTAAATAAAATTTTTAAAAAATAACAACAAAAAAATGATTAGATGAGCATGCCTTCAGGTCCGCTCTAGAAAGCCTAACTCTACCTTTCTATTTCATTATCAAATGACACCCACCCCTCATTAGGCCCAAGGAAGGAGAGGTAGCTGGAAGGAGCCCGGATATACCCGAAATTCGGTTCAGGATAAATCACAGTAATCACCCCCAGGCACCCGATGGAGGTGAGACGTATCAGGGGAGTCTCTGGGATCACTGTTTCCTGCAGGGATGGGAGAAGGACCAGAGGCACTGCAGGGGGAGCTTGGCACCTGGAACCGAGCACTTGGCACCAAACAGGCACCTACTAAAATGTGCCAGGGCCGGTTATAAGCATTTTTACACGTAAAATTCACCGAAGTACTTCCTATTATCAGTACCCATTGTTGCTAAGTACTCCTATTAAACTTGCGTATGGAGGAGACACAAAGAAATTAAACCCACCAAGGTTAAATGGCCCTAAGTCACCTCCATTGGGATTTGAGTCTTGTGCTCAACACAGACTGACATAAAGCCATGGGCTGCCATAAGAAGGTCTTTTTGGTATATGCTCTTTTTTGTGTTTTTCTGCCTGCATCATGAAAAGGTGACAAGTGAAGTTGTTAACTAGCTGGTTAGGCAAAATTCTGAATATACTGTACTTCACCCACACGCCAGTGACAACAATCAAACGCCATCTAGCCCTGGCCCTCCATTAGCAGTATTTATTGGTGCTGCCCGCTGGCTGACAGCGGGACTCCAGATGAGTCTTACATCTTCAACAGACAGGAGCTAGAGAAACAGGCAGAAGGCAATCGAGTGCCATAAATTGTATTGTGATTTTGCTTTTCCTTAAATTGTATTGATGTTTCAAATCCATCAAACCTGTATATGTTCTGTTGCACCAACAAATTACAAGATACTTTTTTATTTTGTTTTTGTTTGGTAGAAGTTTAGTGACACACTGGAGCAGCTGTGGAATGTGCGGAAGGTTTACTGCTTATGATAAAATTTGCCTGATGTCTTACAGGCCACATTTGGAAACTTTTTATTATATTGTTTACTTATTTATAAAGTGTATCATTTAAAGACATGTACTGAAACTAATGTATTTGTTTCCCAAGCATCCTCCTGTAATCTATTACAAAGTTGAAGGTAGATGATGTTTCAAATTTTTAAATTCAAATTTTGCCAGTCATTTTAACGGTGCTTTTTTTATAGAAAAAAAGGAATTTAAGGATAGGCAGTAGTCTCTTAAAAGTTGGGTCACAAAAAGCTGTTATCCGCACAGATGCTGGTAGCTGCCTATTCTAAAGTATTTTTTATAGAAACATATTTTCTAGAATATGAAGAGACTTCACTTGACTTTAACTTGGCGCTGTTCGTTTTGATCAGTAAAATAGGGAGGCATTTGAAACAAAACAGTCAGTGCTCTGAAGATGGGGAAAGTCATTGTGTTTGGGATAGTACGCATTGAAAAGCCATCTTTAGCGTTAGCTGTCTCAGAGTTTTAGTTCGCAACATGTCCACATTCTCCAGTTAATATGTGTGTGTCAAATCTTTGCCTCCTGGAGAAAATACAATATGGAAAGGGAGATGAAGAAGACGGCCCCGCTGATTTAAGAACTGGAGGTAAGCCAGGCACCGTGCAATGCATCTGAAATCACTGCTACTCAAGAGGCTAAGGCCCAAGGATTGCAAATCAGGGCCCCCCTGAGCAACTCAGACAGACCCTGTCTCAAACAACAAAAATAAATATATAAAAAGGGGCTGTGGATAGAGCTCAGTGGTAGAAGGCTTGCCTATCACGCATTAGGTCATGTGTTCAGTCTCCAGGACTGAAAAACACAGACACGTCTTAGAGGTAAAGTGTGCCCCCTTGAGTCCTTCTCTACTTCTACTGGCACGTCGATGGGGCAGGGGTGCACTGCTGGTCTGTTGGAACGAGCAGTCAACCGGGATATGAACTCAGCACCAGTGACAAATATAAGGGATGGAATTTAAAATGAGGGAAGACTTCATTTGTAAGGAGGAAAAAGGAAGAGAAAGCTGTCTGAAGGAGGAGGAGGGGGCCCAGGAAAAACACAGATCCTCAGGAGTCCTTTGGATCCAGCTTCTTTTGTTAGGTTTCCGGGGGAGCCCCCCGAAACTTTCCCACCTTCGTTCACTTTCTAGTGTATCAATGGATGAGGCCCAGGCCACAGGACCCCAGGAACCACTGCACATTCCGAGGTGAGCTTTGACTTTTTTGTTCATGTGACCTTGTCAGGGCCCTCCCTGGGGTTTCTAGGTCAGGGCAGAGGATACAGTGGAGACAGTGATTCAGTGCGGGATTCCCATCCAGTACACTAATACAGTGACCCTAGAGCCTTTGCTGTTTACCAGGATGAGCAGGGGCAGTGCTGTAGTTAGTGCACCTGTCTTCCGTGCTCTGCTCAGCAGCTGGCTCCCTCTGGTCCTAACTGCTCCCTCCAGTAAGTCTTAACTCCTTCTAGTCAGGATTAGCCAGAAAGCATTGCGAGGCCTTTTTTCTATACTTTCCTGACCCCAGACTCTTTCTCCCACACTACCTCCTTCCTACACCCATTTCGCTGTCTACAAGCTCCTAGAGCTTGGAAAAGGGGGATGGGACTACACATCTATCACCCAAATCCTGATTTCTAAGTCACATTTTTCAGTGTGAAGAACTAAAGTTCCTAAAGAAATAGGAAACTGCGTGGCTGGGGAAGTCAGAGTACAGGATGAGTCTGGGATATCATGGCAGAATAAAGATGTGCTCAAACTATAAAAATGTATGATGGGCAAACAGGACAGAAGGGAACTCTTCCATAAAACAGGCTGCTAATCCAAAAAATGTTGAAGAAATGAAGGGGTAGAAGGGTCAGCCTTTTACAGCCATCAGTAATAATCGACTTAGGCCAGACTTTAGTGCTGAGTACTAAGACCACTTGGGGTAATTTTGCTGAAAAACTACTTGCAAAGCATACAATACCTCTTCATGAATTACTAATTACAAAGGGAAAAAGAGTAACTTCAAGATCATTTTTAAAACCCCAATGAAACAGTGTGATCCAGATTCAAGGTGTCTAACTGCAGCAGACAACCCTTGATAGAACTTAGAACCACTGCCAGATAAGGTATTATATTAAAGCAAACCATAAAATTTAAATACGTCCTGGAGGTTAGATTGTGGTATCACTGTTAAAGTTTTCTGAACATGAGACGGCAGCTGTTTTAACTAAATACTCTTTTCCTTAGGAATAGACTCTTTTAAGCATTCCGTGTAAGGGACAAGATGCCTGCACTGTATTCATATGGTTAGAAGTGTGTGCATCCTTAGGTACGGATGTCTGTGTGCACACACATCATACACACGGCAGAGGGACTCAGGCATGTTGCTCACTCACGGATCTGGGCAAAGGGTACACTAGAGTTTTATGTAATTTTTACAATTACTGTAAAGTTTTAATTGCAAAATAAAGTTTCTATAAATATTATAAAAATAGATATGAATCACACTTGTATTGCTTAGAGGTAAATATAAAATCTGTCGTTTTGTTTTTTCTCAGGTGAATATACTGGGGACATTGTTCAACATCTATAAGTACAAATTTTCCTCCTCTTGTTTGGTATTTGCAGTGTTCCATTGGGTTGGTAGAGCATGCAACGCCTTAGCAATCCAATCAATTATTTCTGATTCCTGCTAAACCAAGGAAACCATGAACATCTTTGTATATTCATCTGTGACACACAGAAATTTACCTTTGAAAATCAAAGATTCATCTCTGGGAATCTGTTCTTTACTTACCCTGCTATATCACATGAAATAATCATATTATGAGTCCTTAGCTACAAGATAGTTTAAGTCAGTAATTTTATTCAGTTTTCATAGCTTTACAGCTTCAATGAAAATTGAAAGGGTTTTGGCCCAGATAGGACACTGTAGCCAGGAAAGCCACAGCCAGAAGCAAGAAGCCCCAATCTCGCCAGCCCCTAGGAAGTTACCTGTGACGCCTTCTTCCCGCCCCTGGAAATTTACATATGGCGCCAAACCTAGGACCAATGGGCTACCTGTGCATCCCTAATGCCCGCCTTAGGTTCCACTCCAAACCGAGGCTATTTACAGGCCCCCACACCATGTGTCCACCTGAGAGATTGCTGGAAGCCAGCTGTGGGGGTGCCGGTCATGTATCTCCGTGTTCTCAGAATAAAGGCCGCTTTTTATTTTATATTTCTCATCTTTTGTTAATACTTTTCATCTTTTGGAAATAACCCTAGCAAAAAAAATGACCATTGTTAAGTATAAAAAGAAAGTTAAAAGAACAATCCACACACAAAAAAAGAATAATCCACAATCTCCTGGCCAAAAATTAAAATAACTAGTTAGCGTATCAGAAATTATCTTTTACACATTATCTTTCAGCAAACTCACACTGAAAGGTCATTTATATTAAATATATATTGCTACGAGGACTACAATCTCTACTTCCTTAATTATAACTTACAATCCTATTTGTGATTATTTTAAAAGATGTCAGCTTCTGAACCTTAAATTCCACTCTCAATATTTTTACAAAGTTTATCATCAGCATGGACTTCCCAAAAACTTGGAAGATGTGTCTTCTGACAAAAATCATCAATAAATTTCTCCTTTCTAGAGTTTTCTCCTGCTGTGGACTTTCTGATGGGATGTAAGACAGGAACGGTGACTGAAGTCCTTACCACATACATCACATCTGTATGGTTTTCCCCAGTGTGGATGCTCTGGTGGGCTTGAATACGTGTCCTCTGACTGAAGCCTTTCCCATACTCCTCATATTTACACAGTTTCTCCCTAGTGTGAACATTCAAATGGGCTCGAAGATTTGAGGGGAGACTGAAGGCCTTCCCAGAATCCTCACATTTATAAGGCTTTTCCCCCCATGGACCCTCTGAAGGACACGCAGGGTAACTCTCCATCCAAAGCCCTTCCCACACTCCCCACATGTGTAGGTTTTCCTTCAGTGTGGCCCCTCTGATGGCACCGGGAATCTGAACTCTGACTAAAGCATTTGCTGCACTCCTCACATTGGCAAGGTTCCTCTCCAGGGTGAGTTCTGTAATGAATGAGGCCTGTGCTGCTAGCGAATCCCTTGCACGACTGTCACATCTGTAGGGCTTCTCGCCTGTACGAGCAGACTGATGAGACAGCTCAGGGCTGCTCCCGACGCAGATCCCAGGCTCAGGTCCGTTTCTCAGCTTCTCTGCTGGGTGAATTCTCGGATGAGACCGCAGATGTGAGCCTGGACTGAGGTGTCTTGCGCTTGCATGAACGCTCTGAGGAAGCCCTGAGCTGTGACTGGAGCCCCGTGCACACTCACGACATGGATGAGGTCCTCTCCTGAAGGGAACCGCTGACTGGAGCCCACACGGATGCTTCTGCCACCTTCATTATCATGGCAGCGTCTCTGCGCTGGGTGCGTTTTCATCTGTGCACAGGACGATTTCTTCACCATGTCTTCAAATACACACTGACCACAATCCACATCTCCTTGCTCACCCCTGCTTTGATTCTGTGCCTCAGTCAGACACTTGGGAAGAATCCTGCGTTCCTGCAATGGAAACCTCTTGGTTCTCAATGGACCTGAAGCTATCTCCTTTGTGATACTTGACATTGTTCTCATTTTCAAGACTGTGAAGGCCAGCACCTTGTACTAACCGGGAATTTGTCCTGTGAAGACACCTGGTTAACTCACTTGCCACAGGTTTCCAGGTCTGCCAGCAGGACAGCTCGTCATCTGAAAGGTATCTCAGTGCAAATTATCCAAGAGTCTCAATGTCATTTTGACTCACGCTACCTATAAAAGAAAGCAACATTCAATAGTGAGGAAAGGTGTCTCTTTTCTTCAGAGATGTTCTCAAGTTTTCATGCAGCTGGGAACACAAAGAGATCCGCAAGATCCTATGCATACAGTGTGACCCATCTGGAAACAAGGGCTACAAGTTGAAATCAGAGGGCAGCAGGACATGCACAGACAAGGCTGAAATTCAAGGGCCAGGTTCAGTGCTGCCCTCATGGGTAATTCAATTCAGTTCTCACCCAGTTCGGTTTGAAACCAGAATCCAGCAGAGCAATGGGCTCGTGAAGGGAAGCGCCACGGTATTTTAAGAAGAGGGTGGCCTTCAGATGGAGCTTTGCACTCTCTGCCTTGAGTCCCCCGCACCATACATACATGAGAAAAGCTCATTCATCCTTTTGTCAGAAAAGTAAGTGGTTTCTGCCTAATTTAGGTTAAAAACGTTTAAGTTTGAGCTTAAAACAGTATTTAGTGTTGGTAGAAAACCATGAATTAATGTGGAAAAATGTCTAGACTATTAATACTCATTGTTGTGGGGATTAATTCAAGTTTTTGTAAAAGAAATGGAAAACGGACAGCTCTGTACAGCTGAGAGAAGCCTCGGAGAAGAAGGGTGGGAACATACTGCAGACCCTGAAAGGCAGCCCTGCAGAGGAGGAGGAGCTGTAAAGGGCACGCGAGGCTCCCCCAGGCCTCACCCCCATTCCCCAGGCTCTGCTCAGATGTCGCCCCAGTCTCGCCTTCAGGAACATCCAGGGCAAGAGCAGCTCCTGCTCACCCACACAGAGTTCTGACGCGGCCCATTTCCTTTATGTGCCTCTCCCCGTCTTCTGCAGGGCTGAGCAGGAAGCCCTGGACTCTATGTGAGGGAAGTGCTCTGCCTGCCTCTTTCATCAGCACTAGGTTAACACACAAGCCTGTTTTGCTTTTGAGCTGGGACAGCAGTAAAAAATGCCAAACATTTTCCTCCTGTAGGACAGAGGGAGGAAGAAGAGTAAGAAAAAATCAATATGCAATTACATCAGTGGGTGATAGTACTTAGAACAGAAACTAAGGCAGGGCAGGGGACAGAGCACAGAAGAGGGTACGTTAAATAGGACCGACACACAGCCTCTCTAATTAGGGGGAATCTGAGCACTGACCACGCGGACGCGCAGGGATGCAGGGAGAAGCCGACTAGCTGGTACCTGAAAGAACAGGTGCACGGCTTGCACCAGAAAACCTACTTCTCTGGGCTTCTGTTTCCATCCTCCAAAGCTTCTCTTCTGCCTCCAGCTGGGATACCAAGTCTGGTTGGAAGGGAAGATGCTCTGTGAAGAGGCAGAGAAGCAGATCTTCAGGTGCACACACAGCTGACAGGTACTCCTGTCCAGATCACAGGCTCTGCAGAGCGAGGTGACATCCCACGAACTTTGCCGTCCAGTCAGAAGTTTAGGTCACTGTCCAGTCTGCATTGACCTCTATGTCTATCATTGTAAAGTTCCAAACTGATGTCCACCTTTGGACATTTCCAACCCTGTCTCTCACGTCGCTCATGAAGACGGTCAGTGTCTGCTACAGTGTGCACCCTAGAGGAGGACTCTGATGTATTCTAACAGACGTACTTCACGGGGGAACATGCCAGCACGGAGGAACAGTGTGTTCACCACCCACCAGTGAGCCAGAACCGTCACTGGAAAGGCAACCTGGACAAGCTAAGTTGTCCACTCACGGCCCATTGAAACCTGGCTCTCCCAGTGCGGCACTGCGGATACTGTGGGCCGGCTGCTCTGTGTGGTGGAGCTGTCCTGGGCACTGCAGGCCGTTTATCAGCATCCCTAGCCGCCATCCACCTGCCTGGATGTACCCTCCCCAATCCCACCTGTGACAGCTGTGTCCACACTGTGATGAATGTCCTGATGGAAAAATCACACCTTGGCAACAACCAGTGATTTAAAGGGACACAATTTTGCAAAAGCAGAAATTCCAGGAAAGCTCCCTCTCTCTGTTACCCCAGGGGCCCAAAGCCTTCAACCTCTGAGGACACACTCTCAAGGGAGGTGAGGTTCAAGGTCCTTACCCACTGCAACCAGGTTCTTAAATTCTCCACCATTACACCCTCACACAGTTCCCTCTGTGTGCCGTCCAGCAGCCCCTGTTCTTCAGTGGTGAGGACCACAGCCTCGTCCTTGAATGTCACGGCCCCCTGCAACATCAAACACAGGTAACCTCAACCCTGTAACCCCACGGAGGCCGCAGAACACTGAGAGAGAGGATCCTGAAACCCAAGTACAGCACAGCCACCAACCAGCCCCCAGCATATTCAAGCTTCATAGCGTAGGACAGGAGGGCACTGCACCTGGAGCCCGGTCCTTGTCCTGTTCCCTCTGGGAGGGCAGGGTCCTGAGAAGGCAAAACTGAGGAGGAGGCGGCACCAGCACGGGTCAGAGCTGCCCCTCAGCCCCGTGGGTCTGCAGGGAACTGACACACGGCTGCCCTGCTTCCTTCTGCACAGATGCAACCGGCAGCTTGGTGACCAGAGCAGGGCCAGATCCCAGGTGCTCACCGGCCTTCCAGGGCAGTGCCGTGGGCAGCCAAAGCAAGAACCCTAGGAATTTCTATCAATATCCTTCCCTCCGCTTCCCCTTCCTTTTCCTTTTTTAGATTCTAAATGGCACTGGGGCTTAATCCAGTGTCCTATGGACGCCAGGCAAGTGCTCCACCATTGAGTACAGCCCCAGCCCTCCATAAGACCGTCTGCTCCCAGAAACCATAGCACATGGGTGACAACATAACAACACGTGGGCCAGGTGCTCGGAGTCAAGCGCTGAGTTTCATCTCTGAAATCGACCCTCAGCTATTTGTGTCACCAAAGGGAGGTTAACAAAATAATTCTTTGTGCCTGACTTTTGTTATGGGTCAATGAAGCTAAGAGTCGTACACTGTACCTACCTCACAGGTGGCTCCAAGGATTTAATGAGTAGATGGGAAATTCCGAGAGCCAGAGCCCCCTTCTCTGACAGCTACAAAAAAAGAAAACAATTATCAAATGGTACTCTGTATTATAACAGTTCTTTCAAAGATTGCTCTCCCATGAAGGTCACTTTTAATTTGTGAAAGAGACTAATTCTGACTTAAAATAACTTCTTAGTATATAATTCACTGCCTGGTAGTTGTGTGTTTTTGTTTTTGACACAGGATCTCACTAGGTAGCCCAGGCTGGCCTGGAACTCATAGAGGTTCCCCTGCCTCAGCTTCCCGAATGTTGGCATTCAGGCATGTGCCACCATGACCAGCCCCACTAGTAATTTTTTTATTGGCACTGGTATCTGTTTTTCACAAAGTATTCTTTTGGGGTCAGTTTACTTCATGACATCAGTAAACACTCATTGGTAAATGCTTTTTATGCTATATGCATGGAGATAAAGAAAAACAGTAAAGAAAAAGATGGAGAATAGAAGTAAAATCAAGATTGATGGAAAATAAATCAAAAAGTTCTAACATTTGTTTAAACATGAAAATAAGGGAATGGAAGAAACGAGGGAACTTCCTTCAAAAGTAAGGCTCCCAGGGGTAGAGGCACATGCCTGTAATCCCAATACTTAGGAGGCTGAGGCAGGAGGACCACTGCAAGTTAGAGCCCAGGCTGGGTCCATATTGACGTCAAGGCCAGCGTGGACTACAAGGTGAGAGCCTGTCTAAAAAATAAACAAAAAAAAATTCGAGAAAGCACCAGACTAATCAAATATAAAGAGCTGAAAACAGATACTATAATCTTAGTACTGTCAGAAGAAAATAAAGTTACTTAAAATAAATAATTGGCAGAAACAGGGTAACTAAATGAAAACCAAAAATAACTGAATACTATCTCCACAGTGAAGGAAAGAGCTGTCTACCTTTCTATGCTGAACAACATGATTGTTTTCATGAGATCTGAGGTATAACAGACTGCAAGAATTAATGAGTTTCTTTCTCCCTCTCTTTTTTCCTTTTTTTTTTTTTCTTTTTTCATTTCTTAAGTCAAGGTCTTGCTATGTAGTTCAGGCTGACTGTGAACTTACTGTTAGGACAGGATGGCCTCAAACTCTTGGACAACCTACCTGCTTCAGCCTCCCAGGTGCTAGGATTACAGGTGTACACCACCACATCCAGTGTGCATGAGGTAATAAGAAAATATTTATAAATATGTTAGCAACAGAATCTTTGTTAAATAGAAATAAACCAAGAACAATAATGTATAACTTTGAGGACGATTGTATTAAAAAGCAGACTTATAACCTACCCTAAGATTAAAAACAAACCAAGAAAAAAACATGTTACCAAATTTTAAGGGTTTTTAGTGTATATATATATATATATTTTTTTTTTTTTTACACTGTCTGTCACACACATGCACTTTCTTCTTGGATAACACTTCCTTTCCCACAGCGGAATGCCACAGCTGCTACGATTGACAGCAGCTGCAGATCAGTAGCTGTGGGCAGTTTCTATATTTTCCAGAATGATAATATATGCAACCATTTTCTAAGACAGATGATGTTTAAAAGTTAAAAGAATGATCAAAGAGTATATTGGTTTAAAGCCACTGAGGAGAACAAGGGAGAATAAATTTAATTGAAAAAAAGAAGAAAAGGAAGCAATGCAAAGTATACCAAATAAATGCAGATTAAATGCCTCTTACTACGTGGAAAGAAAAAAATCCAACGATATTCTAACAGATACTACTAAAACCTAGTGACAAAAAGTTTGAAAGCAAAAAGATGGAAAAACATACACTGAACTGATGTCAAAAGCAAGCTTCTGTTTTACAGATTATGGTACAATTTAATGAAACCTACATGATAAATATGTGATATCTTTTAAAATACTCTATTTTAGGTACACTGGGAGTAGTCCCAGCTACTTGGGAAGCTGAGCCAGGAAGGTGCTTGAGCCTCTGAGTTGGAGACCAGGCTAGATAACAAAGCTGTATCTCAAACAAATGGGAAGGAGACAGGTTGAAATTAAGTCTCGCCGACATGAAAATCCACTACACTCTGTACAGTCTATACATGCTCAGAAATTTACATAATAAGGGAAAGGAACTACTAACTACCTTGCCAATTTTGAGAAACATCCATAAATACATACACAACGAACACTAACCAATAGTTATCTAATTTTTCTTTATTTATGTGTGTTATCTACGTCTGTCCAATAAAAATGTACCTAACCAGAGAAGGAAAGGTAGATCTTTTAGTAGGGACAATAGGAAAAGGCAAAAAAGAAACAAAATACAAAAGGTGAAGTTAATTTTAGCACTATTTTATTTAGCAATATGTTGATATTTATTTAGCAGTGTACTTTATGCAAAATATCATTTCAACATGTAATCAATACTGAAAAATCATTGGTGTCCCATCTTTTTTTTTTTTTTTTTTTTTTTTTTTGAGACAATGTCTCTATACAGTTCAGGCTGGCCTTGAGCTCCCTTTGTAGCCCAGGCTGGTGATGACTCATCTTAAAATCCAATGTTTACTTCACGCCTAACAGGGCATCTCAATGGGACCAGCCTGGGTTCCAGCGTTAATAAGGTGTAAGCCCTAAGGCACTAGGTTGGAAGAGCACCTCTACATGGGCATTCGGTATTGATATAACCCGCATGCGACTTTATTTGACACGCAATCAATAAGTAAATGAGATGTTTTAGGATTTTTAAAAATTCAGTGTAGTTTTCAAAGTCTTCCACAGGAAACTTCCCAACGACTGCACCTTCAAACGAAGCCCCTCGGGGGATGGATCACTGGTAGGATAACTGCAGGTCCCCGTATCGCTGGGGTTAAGAACCCGGCTCAGCTACACAGCCAGCTGGTAATATTAAGTTTAATGACTTTGCGACAACAAAGCACCTTCTGTCTCATTTTCCTCATCCTTAAAATAAAGATAACAACAACTACTTCCTTGATCGACACAGTTGATAGAAGAATGCGCAGAAATCAAAGGGACAAGATGCTATTAACAGTTTCACTTCCGAGTCTCTCTCCTACCCATTTTCATTTACTCAACACAGACGCGATCATATTCTTCGTGGTGACGCACGGCGAGGGAAACCTGATTAACCGAAAAGATGACAGGACCAGCAGGAAGGCACAGGAGGGCACAGGGCGAGCCTGGAAGAAGCCGGCTCCCGTCCCGGCTGGGTGAAGAGGGCGCGCGGTGAGTGCGCGGCGCCCCGCTCAGCCTCTGCCCGCAGGACGGCGGAAAGGCCCGGGGCCGACCTCCTGCTCTTCCAGGGCTGCCCTGCAAGGGGCGCTGGTGAGAGCATCACAGCCGGCAGCCCAAACACCTGTTACTGGGCGCCACTCCCGCTGCGAGCCCTTGGCAGGCCCGGTCGGCCTCGTCCTAATCCCGCCGGCCCAGGGCTGCGCGCTCCACCGCCCCCTGACGGATCCGGAAAGCAGAGCGCAGGTCCCGAGCGGATGGGCAGCAGCGCAGCACGGGGCGGGGAGGCCGCGGCACCCGCGCTTCCGCCTGCTTTCCTCAGCCTGCGCCCGAGGCCGCGACTTCCCACCCGCAGGCTGAAAGGGCTCTGAAAGATGGTGGAAGCGAAGGGTACTCATCTTCCGGACCGAAAAGTTGTAGTACGGCCTCCCTTCCTGGAGGGTAGCGTCTCCGTCTATCCCGGCTCCGGAACTACATATCCCAGAAGGCCCAGGGACACATACCGGCATCGGCCAGCTTCCGGTTGGAGACCCAGGCAAATGTTTCTCAGTTCCGCATTGCAATAAAATCCTGTCTTCAGAAAAAAACAACTACAACCTGCACACTCTTTAAGTTCCCAGGCCACAAGTTCTCTAGTCCCTTTCGTGGTTTCCTGCCATTTTGCCTACCTTAGGCTTTTTTGGACGCCAGGATTTGGTCCTTCAACTCGAGTGAGACAGAAAAGGAGAGAAAACAAAGAGAAAGGAAGCCTTTAATGCGGCTCGGGATAGCCACTGAAGAAATGCAAGCACATTCTAAGGGTATTGAAGAAAGCCGCAGGCTGTCAGGATCTGACAGGAGTTCCAGGGGCAGGTGGAATGACCTCGTAACAGCTGATTGGGGGAGCGCGTGCGCGCGGGAAAAGCGGGAAGTTCAATTATGGGTTCGTGAGAGGAAGGGGGAAGTCAGTGCTGACAGGAGACGCTGTGCAGCGCCACGTGCACTCACACGTGGGAAAACTCGTCAGCCAGACATTTAGCTTTTTCTCACTGACGAAGTAACAGAAAAATTCTGAGATTCTTAAAAGAATGATTGTAAGAAACATCATACTGATATAGAGGAATTAAACTCCCAACCTAGTAGACGTCGGGTACAAGTTCGTGTTCTCTAAAATCCAAAGCATGAATTTTAGAAACAGTGAAGGTTAAAAGTAGCATAGATTTATTAAGAGAAAAAAAGCTTCTGTCAGAGAGGGACAGAAAGGGGTCCCAAGTGAGTTGCCAAAGACTGTCTTTTCCTAGGAACTTTGTAAGAGTAAAACCATGAGGTGCGAGGGGTCCAAGATGGGGAAGGATGGGAACTCGAAAGGCCGAGGGGCATGAGGTGGGACAGACGTATGGTCAATCAGTAAGATTAATTGTTCAGGTAAAATTGACTAAATCACAGACCAATGGGGAAGCCAGTCAGGCTGCAAACTGGCGTGGTTATGGAGCAGTGACTCTTCCTCTGTGGGGTTGGGATGGTGACTGCTGGCTTTCTCAAGATGATGTATACCTATTTAGAATATCAATCCCTGATGTTTATACGTAAGATGTGATTGCATTTGTTTTGCCTTGTGTCTTGGGTTCCAGGTGTGTCTCGTCTAAGGTCACTAGACATATGGTCAACTGTGTTGGCTCCCTGGAGGGCTGAGGCCTGTCTCACTACCTGTAATCCTAACTCAGCTGCCTATAATATGATCCTTTATACCCTACACTACCAAAACCTTAAAAAATCCTTTAGTTTGAAATTTTAATATTTAACAGGATCAGCTAACAGGAAAGATACTTTTTAGTTACAAAACAGATTGAAGACCAAAGAAGTGCAATGGGAACAGGAAGATAGATCTTTTGTAAAGGGGTGGAGGACCAAGAGATGGACAGAAGGTGAGGGAGGGGTGAGAAAAGAGACATAAAAAGAATTCGGATGTATAATATATAGGTACTCCCTATGATGAATAGGAGTGGTGATAATGGACATGATTGTCTTATTCCTGATTTTAGAGTCAAATCTTTCATTTTTGACCATTTGTTATGATGTTAGCTGTTGGTTTATCATAGATGGCTTTTTATAAGACTAAGATAAATGCCACCTATTCCAATTTACTGTAATTTTTTAAATCATGAATGGGTGTTAGACTTTGTCAAATGCTTTTTCTGCATCTATTTAGATGACTGTGATTTTTTTTTTTTTTTTTTTTTTGTACAAGGGATAAAACTCACAAACTTGTACTTCCCAGGAAGGTGTTTATGCCACTGGGCTAAATCCCCAACCCAATTATGTAACTTATCTTTAGTTCTGCTAATACAGTGTATCATGTTTATTGACTTGCATATGCTGAACCATATCTGCACCCCCCAGAATAATTCCTTCTTGGTCATGGTGTATGATCTTCTTGATTTGCTGCAGTTTGCCAGTATCTTATTGAGGACTTTTGCATCTATGTTTATGAGAGACAACTTTTTTTGGTTGGGTTCTTCTCTGGTTTTGGAATCAGGGTTACACTTGCTTCTAGGAATGATTTTGGAAGTACTGCTTCTCTTTCAATTTCCTTGAGAGCTTCAGTATTAATAGTATTAGTTCTCTAAGTTTCTTGTAGAATTCAACAGTGAACTCATTGGGGCCAGGGCTCTTGTTAGTAAATTTTTAGTTACATTTTAATTTCAGTGGCTGATATTGTTAAATACAATTTTATATTTAGTTTTGGCAATTCAGCTAAGAATCTGTCCATTTCTTCTGTTTTCCATCTTATTTGAATATAGGTTCTCGAAGTAAATATTGATGATCTCCTGAATTTGTGAGATTCAGTGATTTCCCCCTTTTCTTTCCTAAGTGCTTGAATTTATACACCCTCTTTTTGATAAGGTTGATAAGTTTAGCTTTTATTCTTTCAAAGAACTAACTTTTAGATTCATTGATTCTTTGTATTTTTTGGTCTCTATTTCATTGTCTTTTTATAATTCCTACCTCATATGAATTTTGGGTTTGATTTGTTCTTTTTCTAAAAGTTTGAGATTCATTATTAGGTTATTTGAGCTTGTTCTGTTTTCCTAATGTTGAGTGTACTGCTATAAATTTCCTTTGTAGGACTGCGTTCATTGTGTCCGTAAGGTTTGATATATCAGCACCATCAATTATATAGTTTCTTTGTCCCTCTATAATCCATTGGGTTGTTTGGGTGTTAATTTCCATGCGGTTATGTAGTTCTTGTGATTTCCTTTGTCACTGATCTTCAGTTTCATTGTTATGGTCAGACAGTGTGCATGGAATTTTTTTCCCCAGTACTGAGAATCAAACACAGGACCATGTGCTTGCCAGGCAGGTGCTGAGCTATACTCCCAGCTTCTGGGATGATTTCAATTTCTCTAATTTACTTCAATGTTCTGTCAGCTAATATATGGTCTGTTTTGGAGACTGTCCCATGTAAAGCTGAAAAGAATATTGGTGTTTTGGGGTGGAACACTCTGTAGGTACCTACCAAGTCCATTTGTTCACAGGCTTAGTTTAATTCTATTTCCTTATTGATTTTTTTTTTTTTTTTGTCTTTTTCGTTTTTATCGGTACCAGGGATCGAACTCACGACTGCCTGCTTGCAAGGCAGGCGCTTATGCCGCTGAGCTAAATCCTTTTGGTCTACTTGATCTATTTGTGAGTGGAATACTGTTTCCCCACTACAATTGTTTGTGCTCATTTGATTTTTAATGTCTGTTAATTTTTTTTATGTAGTTGGGTGAACCTGTGTTTGGTGAGTAAATTTATGATTGTTATTTATTTTTGGAGTTTTTCCTTGGAGTATGTAATGACCTTCCTTTTCTCTTTTGATCAGTTTCGGCTTAGTTTTCATTGTCTGTAAACAATACCTACCCTGCATTTTTCTGGGTTCCTGTGGCATGGAGAACTGTTTTCCTTCCTTTGACTTTCAGTCTATGAATTTTTGGGTTAAATGCGTTTCTTGAATACAGCATATTGTTGGATCTTGTTTCTTGACCCATTCTGCCAGTATGTTTCTTTTGACTGGTGAGTTGAGACCATTTACATTGATGGTTAGAACTCATATGTATTGGTTTATCTTTTTCATGTTGTTTCCTTGTTGTTAAAAAAGTTTTCATAGAGGACCAGAATGTAAAAATTCTAAATTTTGTGGGCCATATTGTCACAACTGTCACCGCAGCAAGAAAGCAGCCACAGATGACACATACACTAGCATTATAATGTTCCAGTAAAGTTTTAAATGCACTAGACTGGATTTGCCTGTGGATATGTGGTTTAATTAAAAAATACAAATTACCTTGAGATGAACTATTCTGATATCTACTTTGAACAACAATACATTGAAGGTCCAAGATCTGTATCATCTAATGCAATATGAGGTACCACAGCCTGACACACTTGGCATAGGTGTGATCAAAGAAAGCACAGGAAATTATGAAAAGTTGTCATTCCCGTTTTATATATGCTTCACTAAAACCCCTTAAATATACTTTAAATATCACTCAGATTCCTGAGACATAAATGGTCTTCAATCCACATTAACAGTGTATTTTTATGTCTAGACTCCACTGGTATCATGCTCTTCTCTTATGCAGTTTTTCTTCAAATCCTCATTACATTTTATCTCTAGAACTTAGACTTCCTTCTTTCATATTCAAGATTTGCTCTGCAACTTTGTAAATGTTTTCCATTGTCGTGTCGTCCGTCCCCCCTCCCCCCCAGCGCAGTCCAAGTCTCTTAGCCAGATAGTATTCAGAAAGACAAGTTCTCCCAGTCAGACCAAGCACTTGAAATGCCACTGTCCTGGGTTATCCATTTAAAACAGTGCAGATGTCTTATAAGAATTATATGGCATCAATTCCTTATAATGGAATTACACTAAAATCATCTAGGCTCTATAAAGTTATGCAGAATGATTTCAAATATATTAGTTGAAAACATATACTTATACACCAATATATCTATATATTCCAACTATAGAATTTCTCTTCTGACTTCAAGTTCTACTCTTTAATTTTGGCTTTATATGCCACATGATCTCTTAACTATGAGATATTGGGTTTTTTTTTTTTTTTTTTTTTTTTTTTTGGTCTTTTTGAGACAGAATCTTGCTATGCAGTTCAGGCTGGCCTTGAGCTCACTTTGTAGCCCAGGATGGTCTCAAATTCGCAAGAATCTTCCTGTCTCAGCCTCCAGAGTGCTAGGATTACAGGAGTACGCTACCATAACCGGCTGGCATGAGTATTTTTAATAATTTTCCAAATTATCTTGTTGCTTTACTATTATTGTAAAAATACAGTATTTCATGGAAATTAAATGTGGAAAAATTTCCTACATTCTCCTTGCCACTGTTTATATACTGGAAAAACCTCCCACACAACAGGATACTAATCACCGAGAGTTAAGTGATGTGATGACCCTGAACTACATTATTCTTCTGTGTCATAATTCTGGATCAAATTTTAATGTATGTTATTGTAGGAAATCAAATGTTAAACTCCTACTGAAACATCAGGCAGTACCCCATGCACATGCCAACATTTTTATGTGTGTTAACATTTTAAATTAAAAGTTCTCTTGGTGAACTTTTATTTCCACATTCAGGAGACATGGCCACATCACTAATGTGATTACTCAGTTCTTCTTTTTAGGTCTGCTGATCCTAAATTCCTACGCTGTCTAGGTTCCTCCTCTGTTGACAGTCTTATCAGTGGTAGAGAACCTCTGGTATGCATGCCTCAAAGAGTTGTTTGTTACCACTGAAAACTCTAAAGGGTTCGCCACCACTGTTTTATATTCTGACTGACCCTTCTTCCAGGTTGTCTTTTTCTTTCTTGCACTAGCAGGAGAAAGTGAGTCATTCATAAACCTGTAATTTGCATGTTTGATAAAATTATCCAATTGTAATAATTTTCGTCCCTTTTCCTCAGGGTGGGGAAAGGTGGAATAGGGGACAGAGAAACTTGACTAATCAATTGCAAAATAGTTTCTACTGAAGGTCGGATAAAAGCAATGCTAAAGCTCTTGGAAGATGTGTCAAATCTTGGATGAAAACTTGGGAATAAAAACTGATCAATTTTGAACTGGGCATTTTGGCACACCTGTGATTTCAGTACTTGGGAGGCTGAGGTAGGAGAATTACTACAAGTTCTAGGCCAGCCTGGGCTATAGTCACAGCAAGGCCAGCCTAAATACATGGTAAAACCTGTCTCAAAAAAAAAAAAAAAATCAAATCAATTTCATATTTACTGTCTTTGGACTGGGGAGTTAGCTCAGCAGCGTAAGGGCCTGCTTGGCAAGCGCAAGCTTATGAGTTCAATCCCCGGTACCACAAATAAATAAATAATTTAAAAAATAAAAATTTACTGTCATTAGTTAACTTTTTCTGATACTTCAACTTCAACATTAACTGTATTGAAAAAATAATAGTATAATATGCACTTTTTTTGTGAGATAGGGTCTTGCTATGTAGTTCAGGCTGACCTCAAATTCCCAGAAATCCTCCTGCCTCAGCTTCCTTAGTTCTAGGATTACAAGTATAAACCTCCATGCTGGGCAGAGTGCAGTATCTTGTTATTACAAGATTAACAAAATTTATTTTCAGCCTGTATTGTCACAAGAGAAATAATTGTACTACATAAAACCAACAGAACACTAAAGTTCAACAAGATATAAACCAATCTGCTAACAGTGAGGACAGGTACTAATCATAACAGTGCAATGCCAAATTAATACTATAAATTGCAACATAGACTGATTTTCTATTTTAACTTGGCTCCTGAATTAACTTCATTACTTTCAAGTTTTTTTAAAATTCTAATTACCAATCCACAGTATTCTGGATATAATCTCAAAACAATTTTCAAATTTCATACCTCCCACTAATGTAACAAATACTAAGCACTTTTAAAAACTACTTTACAAAACTGATTATGTAGGTTCAGCAATTTCTGCCTGTATAGAATTAAAGTCCTAGTGAATACCCAGCCTCTCTTCTAACATTGGAGAAAGGCCAAGGTTCTTACCAAAGCCTTTATAATACTAATTTTAAGAGTTCTTTCTGCTAAATGCTCTGGCCAACAGTGGCATGAATAACCACACATAGACAAATGAAACAAGCTTTCTTCTGAGATATGAGTATAAAAATTCACATGACACGTAAGTCTTCAAAAACATCATTTTATAAAATTTTTTGTGTGAATTCTCTCTTACCATTCTTATTATTTTTATAGGCCTTATCACCATGAATTCTATGATGAATTGTAAGATTTGATCGCCAGCTGAATCTCTTACTACATATGTCACATGTGTAAGGTTTCTCCCCTGTGTGGACTCTCTGATGAGACTGTAGTTGCGAGGACCGGCTGAAGACCTTACCACACACATCACACTTATATGGTTTCTCCCCCGTGTGGACACTCTGATGAAGCTGAAGACTTGAAGCCTGACTGAAGTACTTACCACATTCCCCACACTTGTATGGCTTTTCTCCAGTGTGGACCCTTTGATGCATGTCAAGATTCAAGCTCCACTTGAAGCCCTTCCCACATGCCTCACATTTGTACGGTTTTTCCCCAGTGTGGACTTTTTGATGGGCTTGCAGGTGTGAGCTCCTACCAAAGCTTTTGCCACATTCTTCACATTTAAATGGCTTTTCTCCACTGTGGACTCTTTGATGTGCCAAAAGATTTGAGGCTTGCCTGAAGACCTTCCCACATTCCTCACAATGATATGGTTTCTCTCCTGTGTGAATCCTACAGTGAATTTTAAGGTCTGCTCTCCGACTGAATCCCTTTCCACATTCTTCACATTTGTAGGGTTTCTCTCCAGTGTGAATCAGTTGATGAATCTGAAGGCGTGAGCTCTGATTGAAGCCCTGCCCACATGCCTCACACTTAAAAGGTTTTTCTACACTGTGGGCCTTCTGATGGATCTGAAGATACGAACTCTGACTGAACCCCTTCCCACAGATCCCACATTTATAGGGCTTCTCTCCTGTGTGGACCACTAGATGGACTTGATAGTGGGAGTTTCTCCTGAAGCTCTTCCCACATGCTTCACATCTGTACGGCTTCTCTCCAGTATGGACTCTGAGATGGGCTTGAAGATTTGAACTCAGTGTAAAGCCTTTGCCACATATAGTACAAATGTATGATTTTTCTCCAGTGTGGACTCCTTGGTGGGCTTGAAGACTTGAAGGCCGACTAAAGCCTTTACCACATTCCTCACACTTATAGGGCTTTTCTCCTGTGTGGACCCTTTGATGAATATACAGATTTGAGCTACAAATAAAGCACTTCCCACACTCTTCACATTTGTACGGTTTCTCTCCTGTGTGTACTCTCTGATGGGACTGAAGATGTGAATTCCGAGTAAAGGTCTTACCACATGCATTACACCTGAATGGCTTTTCCCCGGTATGGACTCTCTGATGGTCTTGAAGATGAGAGGCCTGACTGAAGGCCCTCCCGCACTCCTCACAATTATAAGGCTTCTGTCCTGCATGGACCTTACAATGGACGGCAAGAGCTGACCTACGACTGAAATCTTTCCCACACTGCTCACATTTGTGTGGTTTTTCTACTGTGTGAACTTTCAGATGGGTCTGCAGACGTGAGCTCTGACTGAATTCCTTACCACACTCAGGTTTTTCTCCCACGTTAGGTCTCTGATGAACACAAAGAACTGAGTTATCCCGGAAGCCTTTTCCACACTCAATATACACTTGCGACTTCTCTTCAGAATGTAATTGCTGCTGAGGATCAAAGCTGGAGAGATCAGTGAAGGCTTTTGCACACACCTTACACTGGTAAGGTTTCTGTTCTGGGTGAATCCCATGCTGATAAAATGCTGAACTATGTGTGTTATCTTTCCCATAATCACTGGAGCTGTAAAGTTTTTCACTTTTGTGTATTATATGCTCTTCAAGGTGATTTGATATCCAGCTGATCTGATCAACACCTTGTCCACACTGACACAGTTTATGTTTCATAGAAATTTCTGGACATCTCTTCTGATAATTCTGTGATTCAGGCAAGGAACTTTTCCTCCATGAATCCTGGGTTTTAAAAGTTGGAAGTTCTGGATCTCCAATATCATTGAGAACGCCTGTTTCATAATTTTCTAGACTGTCTTTATCTTTAGAAATTTGAATACATAGCCCTACCCCAACATGGCAGACGGGATCACCTTGTTTGTAGAATGGACAAGCATTTCTCATGGAGTTATGAAATGTGGTTAAGTCACTGGTAATTTGTTGCCAGATTTGCCAGCAGGAAAGCTCTTCATGGGGTCCTCTGTCTTGAATAGGCTTTAATCCACTTTGTTTATTCTCTAAGGACAAAGAATTTAAAGATATAGTCAAATGAAAGTTTTATTCAAAGATTCACACTTAGGACACAGCAAGAGACTTTAATGAATTTCAGGATGACTCACAGTATCTTTTTCACCATATACAGTTTTCTGATTTATACTCTGGTAGCAATCAAGAATTTAAAGAAAAGAAAAAGAAACCAAGAAGTGATCCAGTAAACTCCCAGTACTAAGTATTAATGAAACCCATTTAAAAACATAATTACTGACATATGTTCTAAATCTCTTACAATTATGTCTTTCCTACCACAAGACAGTATCAGTAAAGATAAAATTATGTGGGGCTCAGAGTTTCATGACCACTGCCCAGAACAGTGTCTAGTAGCTAGAAGGTACTCAAGCAATGCATGGATAGATGAATTCCAGTTTGATTTCTAGGCGTTACTAGTAAGTACCATACTACTATAAGCCTGTGTTTAAGTGTGAGCTAATTCATATGCAAAGAGCTTTTGGAAGTAACATATTTGAAACACAAGAACTAGACAGTGCAATTTTGCTGAGGAGGCAAAAAGTTGCACCTTATTTCTGAGGCAGTGGCACAGTAGGTCTACAGATGGTAAGAATCAGCTGGGTGAAGCACGGCTGGTGCACTGAATTTAAGACTCAAGCTCTCAGGCATGGAAGGCAAGAACTCTACCATGGAGCTACACCATCAGCCATCAGCATGATTCTGCTTCCCTGAAAATGAGTCTGAATTCAGAGACAATTGTGAAATAGGAAGAAAATTTGCAAATGGGAAGGAGAACTAAGGAGGGAGGGGGAATGGGAAAAGGAAAACAAGAAAAGGAAACAATAAAAATGAAGCTTTTTAAGTGGGGGAGGGTTGAATGGAGGGTAGAGGAATGGGGAAAAAAAAAGAATCAAAATATATCATGTACAGGAACAAATTCCCTACAATGAATGTGACCATTATGTATACCTAAATACATCAACAAATTTTATTTTTTCTTTTTGGTTTTTTTGAGACAAGGTCTTGCTATATATAATTCAGGTTCACTGTGAACTCATTATGTAGCCCAGGCTGATCTTGAAGGCCTCCCAGCAATCCACATGCCTCAGTCTCCCAAGTGCTGGGATTACACACATGTACCACTATGCCTGGCTTGTATCAATAAACTTTATTAACAAAAAATTCAGAAGCTAGGTGTGGTGGCCCATCCTGTAATCCCAGCACTTGGGAGACTGAAGCAGGAGAATTGTTGCAAGTTTGAGACCAGCAAGTTTGAGACTAGTCTAGGCTACAAAGTGAGCCCAAGGCCAACCTGAACTGCACAGTGAGACCCTGTCTCAAAAAAAAAAAAAAAAAAAAAAAAACCTGGGGCCGATGATTTAGCTCAGCAGCATAAGCGCCTGCCTTGCTAGTGCATGGTCATGAGTTCAATCCCTGGCACAAAAAACAAAACTAACAAAAAACCCAGAGACAAAGAAATGATACTTTCTTTTCACTGTATGCAAAATTCTAAATATTCTATAGATTTATTTTGCCTTTAACAACCTGTTTCCCTATTCCTTTTTTAAAAATAAGACTGTTTTCCACATTAGTAAATAAAGTTTAGGGCCAGGACTTTAGCTCAGTGGCATAAATGCTTGCTGGCATGCACAAGGTCATGAGTTTGATCCCCATACCCCCGCAAAACAAATAAGTAAGTAAGTAAATAAATAAATAAAGGAAGTCTATTGGTGAACTATGAAATAAGCTTAGTAGCTCATAATAAATGTTTAGAAGAAACATTAAAAATAAAGATTCCACATGAGCAGTAATGGTGTCATTACATGAAATGCCTTCTAAAGTCACATAAATCTATACACACATAGAATGTCGGTAGACATAATCCTGAAAGATTCGTTTCTTTTTTTCTTTTTTGAAAGATCCATTTCTTTTAATAGTCATGGATTTTAGAAGAGGCAAATAGGAGGGAGCTGGGCAAATAGTTTAAGGGAAAGGCTAATTCACAGTTATTTTCTGAGACTTTTTCTTCTCTGACGTAAGAGATAAAGAAATAGAATTTTATTTCCTTTTAAGTCCAAATACCTAAGTAGACATAAAATATTTCCTTTTCAAATGAATATGCTCTGCTACAACTGCTGAAGTAAAGTCAATGAGAAAGTGTGTTACTCTGCTTCAGGCTCCCCATGATATGGATAAGCGAACACGTGACTACTCTAAGAACTGAGGAAACAGCAAAGCACAGGAGGCAGAAGTACTACGCTCCATGAAAAGCATATTAAAAAATAGTTAAGATAGTTACACTACTGATTTTCCTGAGTTCACTGAGGGGAAAAATTTGTGCTGGTGTTGTTCAGACAACTGAATGCAGATGTCTTGTGCTCTGGATGAATGATTTGGGGAAGACAATGCACAATGTATGTACCACTGTTGCCCTGATTTACGTGTTTTGAGATTTTGTTGTAGCTTGTCTTCTTTTTTTGTCCCATTTTATTCTTGAATAAAGTGGATTAGGAAAAAAAAAGTATTACACTCCTAGAGTACAGTCTCATACATGAGGTGATGATCAAAATAATGCAGGTCACACAGAGTAAAGGGAGAGCTGTATTTTTAGGGTGATCAGAGGCCTCTCATGACATTAAAAATGAGCCAAGGGCTAGAGATGTAGCTCAGCGGTGAAGCACTTGCCTAGCATACACAAGGCCCTGGGTTTAATCCTCAATACTGGAAAAACAAACACACACAACAAAAACTGAGCAGACTTGAATGAGAGAAAGAAGGGGGCAGGAAGATTAGAGGTGAACGAGTATTCCAAGCAGAGACCACAGAAAGGGCTCTGGGCCAGAGGTGACCTTGGCCAGTCTCAGAAACTGCAGGGAGGCCAACATGGCTGGAAAGATGCCATGAGGGTCAGGACAGCAGGGAGATAATGGAGGGTGACAGACTACAGAGGACTCTATTAGCCACTTTTTAGGCAGAGGTTTTACTCAGAGTAAAATAACCACAGGAGTTTTGGGCAGAAGAATAACAAACCTTGACCCAAGGCTAAAGCATCACTGTGGTGGCCATGCAGGAAACAGGAAGTGGAAGGAGGAGGACGGAGCTCGGCACCCACTAACAAGGCTGCTGCGATAGCCCAGAAGGGAGTCGGCACTGGACCAGGCGACAGCAACAAGAGTAAAGAGCAGAGCGGGCGGACAATCACCTGCAGGAAGCTACAGCTGCTGGGTCCTTACCTAAGTTACGCTCTCTCTGGGCTCCGGCCTTCATCATCCAAAGCTGCTCTTGGCTTTCTGCGTGTGAACTGTCTCCCATGCAGAGCTGATGCTCTGTGAACACGCAGGGTTACACGAGTTTAAAACAAACACCTAGCACTAAAATTTACTCAAAATCTGAGTTTCAACAGCACACTGAAGACACGGAAAACTGTTTTCTAAAACTGTCTCTCAAACTCATGACACACTGAAGAATTTATTTCATGCCACACGTGCATAATTTATATTATTAAAGGAAAGTTCAAGTGACCCATGTTTAACAAATGCCTGTTCTCATCAATTCTCTTCCCACTGGCGCTCACCCTACTCATCCACCTGGCCAGTTTTTGATGCAGTATGCATCACTCTTCAGGATCCTTTCATTAGAAATTGCTCACAGAAGCCTGGCTATGTAGCTCAGCAGCAAGAGACTTTCCTGGCATGGTAGAAGGAAAACTGCTGGTAGGATTCAATAATCAACTGGTTTTATAATTCACTAAAGGGACAGGAGTGAAATTTGAAAAAGAATAGACAAGAAATAGCAGTATATTGTCCATTCAGGTTTTTTTTAAAAACATAAAATACAATTGAAAAAGACTTGAAATATCCGGTTCACAAAGAGCAGAAATACCTTGTTTCTGCATCCCAGAGGAATAGCAAAGACAATATTTCAAGAACCCCAAACTGGGCATGGTGGCACATGGCTATACTGGCAGCATTCAGGAGACTGAGGCAGAACTACTGTGAGTTCAAGGCCAGTCTGAGCTACATACTGAGACCCCTGTCTCAAAAAATTAAAACAGACAAAAAAGAGCTCCAAAGATATTCCAGAGGGAGGTTGTCCTCACCCACTGAGACTAGGTTCCTGAAGTTCTCAACCATCACATCTTGGTACAGCTTCCTCTGCGCAGAGTCCAGCAGTCCCAGCTCCTCCTCGGTGAAAGCCACAGCTACGTCCTTGAACGTCAGTGCTTCCTACAACAAACACGCACACGACCCCAGTGAAATGACATCCACTGGGAGAGGGGTGGCAGTGAGGGGGTGGGGATGGGTGGGAAGTTTTTCTGGATTCTGAATCACTTGTAGATTTTTCTTTTCCTTCCAACTTATGACACCATATGTTAATTTTCCTGTGCCTTACAAAAAATGCTACCAGAAAGCTTTGAAAATTTACCTGGTGCTTTTTGTTGTTGTTGTTTTTGTCTTTTTGAGACAAGGTCTCACTATGCAGTTCAGGCTGGCCTTGAATTCACTTTGTAGCTCAGGCTGCTCTTAAACTCACAAAGATTCTCCTGCTTCAGCTTCCCAAGGGCTGGGATTCCAAGCATGTGCTACCACGGCTGGCTTACCTGGTGCTCTTAATGACCACTGTAAGGTGTAAACTCCCCAGACATCTAACTTGCTATTTACTAATTTAGTTCCAACAGTGCCTGCTAGTAACTGCCTTCCCACTTAGGTAGGAACCAGGTGAGAAGCAGCACAGGCAGTTTCCACCTGTCTCTGACTTTTACTAGAATACAACATTGTGGTTCCTTAGTTTTCCACGTGAGCTTGAGTAGGTTCCTCATTTCTCACAACTCCCTTTCTGTATGTTTATAGGGAAGATGAAACCGAGGATGATGCACCCCGCTGCTGCAAGGCATCAATGCAGTGATGGAGCGGACGTGCTGGCAAGTGTACGCAGTACCAACAGGTATTTACACTAAGGTCACATGCTACTCTGATTAAAAAAATAAAAATACAAAAGAGCTAGGTGTGGTGATGCAGGCCTATAACCCTGCAGGCTGAGCCAGGAGACAGACAGATTTGAGCCCAGTCTGGAGAACTTGGTGATACTTTGTCTCAAGGTAGAAAAGGGCAGGCAGGGAGGGTAGGGCAGGAGGGCAGATGGGGCGGGGGGCACAGGGATATAGTTCAATGCAAAATCCCACGTATATGCAAAGAGAAAAAAACAGATCAGAAAAGAAAATATATGCAGGGTATGACTTGGGCATGGGAACTCAAGAGTCTGGCTCTGTAGTACAAAAATATCTTAATGGTGTTTTCTATTGAAGCAGCCATCAAAACTGATACTCTGTGCCACATCTGAACATTCTATGAAAAATATTCAAGGTATCAAATATAGAACATTTCTTCTTAATTCTGAATACTTGGTATGTTAAGGATAAAAAAAGATTTCAAAAATGATTCTTTCAGAAAAAGGTGAACATAGGAAAACTGCCAGTTTAGTGTTCTTAAAACAGCAGAACTGCTAAATTAATCACATACCTAGGTAGAATAGTTTAACAGCTGGATACACACATTTGATAGAAAAGGGACACAGAAATGAAAAATGAGTGCAAATAATAGTCAAGAAGAAAATACAAATTAAATTGCATCTAGGGGGCTGGGGACACAGTTCCGTGGTAGACTGCTTGCTTGCTAAGCATGCATGAGGCTGAGGGTTCAACTCCCAGCATCACAAAGAAAAAAAATAAATGGTATCTGTTATAAATACCAATATATGAATATATATGATGCAGATTACAGAAATATAGAAACAGCCATCTTGTAAGTATATTTTTCTTCTTTTTTTTTCTTTTTCTTTTTTTTATCGGTACTGGGGATTGAACTCACGACCGCCTGCTTGCAAGGCAGGTACTTATGCCACTGAGCTAAATCCCCAGCCCCTGTAAGTATATTTTTCATGTTCATTATTTTTCTACTCTGATTTGTATTATAAAAAAAGATGAAATAAAACCAAAGCCAGTTAAACTTAAAAGGGACAAAACGAGGGCCAAGCACACTCTATAGGCCCTCAAGTGCACTGACTGCTTGAGAGAGGAACACATCCTGTCTCTGAGTACTAAGGGTACCATTGTGAATAGGCAGAATAGCAAGCTCTACTCACCTTCAACATACTCATGTTTAATTCTTCCTTCTGGGAAAGCACAGAGCCCTAAGGCAGCAGAGCTGAAGAGAGAAATCCATTGAAACTGGGTGAGTTCGTGGGCCCCTGCCGTGAGTTAGTGAAGGTACTAAGCTCCCTGGATTGTGTCAGCTCACAACACTGACATCAGGTACCTTGTTCACCCACTCAGGTAGCAGTTCGCAGGACAGCCTGTCCGAGCACACTGGGTGGCTCACATTAACGACTCTCTGTCTAGGTCTGGTACACACCAAGACGGTACAGGCAAGAATAGGCTCTGAAATTGGTGTGTCCAGGCTGAAACGGTGGCACAGCTACTCACTGGTAGAGTCACCGTGGGGAAATTATTACCACGTCTTTGCCTCAGCTCCGTCATCTAAAAGAGGGAGAGAACAATGTCAGCCTCAAAGGAGAGTTACACAGTAGAACGCTCTTAGACATGGTCAGAGTTCTTTGCAAAAAAGCTGCAATAATCTAGTTTCAAATTATCCTTAAAATGTGGGTAAATTTTTGTTGACTATTTACCAACAGATTATTCTAAGATCCCTAGAGCTCACAAGTTATTGCTCTTCCACGTGAAAGTTTCTTATAACTTCTCAACGAATCTCTGGTTGTTTATATATTTTATTTGATTCTGTAGTGCTGGGGATCAAACTTAGGACCTCATACATGCTAAGCACACGCTTACCCCTAAGCTACACCCCCAGTCCTTAATATTTCTTTTTAAGTGGAAAGCGTCTTTTGGCATACATGCACAGAACTTCAGAAACTCATAAAACATAAAATACTGCAATGAACAACCAATGTGACAATCTACACCTAATTTTTTTTTTGTTAATCTACACCTAATTTAAATGAAAGATGTGGTAATATGAACCCATATTGTTATAAACAAAGGAACAGATAGTAAGTGGACATGAAGAGAACGCAAAATACATAAGCTAATACAGGTGGGATAAAAGATAATTCAAAAATCATCAGTGAATAGTAAAATACTGGTAAAAGTCTAGTGAGAAATAAGATGGCTACATAGTTTCAAAGAATTAATTACAGAGGAAAGACAATAACCTGGCAAGTACCTTAATCACAATGACAAAGTTGAGACCACCACAAACGTACAACAAACACAGAAAGTGACATTTGACTCCTCAAATGGACACAGAGAAGGACACAGAGACACAGAGAAGGGTGCTTCATCATTTCTGTGGCCTCTCTGCTCAAATAAAGCACAGCTTGAATTTAATCGGAATATTAAATAAATAAAAATTATGGACATGTGCAAAATAATTTGCCAATACTTTACAAAAATAGCAACAGCAAAAAAGAAAAAATATCTGAGGAGTCACTTTAGATTAAAGTGACTAACGAAACAAAAACTTCGTGTAATGCATAGAGTTAGACTGGCCTCTCACTTGGGAAAGAGGTAAAAACTGAAGAAGCTGAAACACAGACCATGAATTAGATGACAGTGCACTGTCAGTGTAACAAATTCCATGTCAACCAGTGTCTCCAGCTTGCTCCCAAATGCTTCAGCAATGACACACACACACACACACACACACAAAGACAGAGAAAGCTGTGAAAAAGAAAAATAAGCAGCAGCAGCAGCTCTGATAACTAACAGCAGAAGAGTCAGAACTTGGTGTTTTCTGATGATCAACAAGAACCAGGCAAGGCTATAGTGATCACAGCAAACAAGAAGGAAAGCGAGTCTGTAACACAGAGACACATTCTACACCGACACCACCAACCTCAGGAGCACCTCTCCTGCTAATATGGGCGACTGGCCTACTTCCAGGTACAACTTCAATCTCACCTTGCTTCTCCCACCTTCTAGGTAAAAATGATTACAAAATTCAGGCATCAAACTTCTTCTTCTCCACAGCATCCACTGTAGAATACACACCCACTGCCTGAAGTGCTGCTCAACATGGACAACAAGCTCAACCCTTGTAACTATCTCCTCCTAACTGCCTCTTTCTAAGATACCCCATCCATACCTGATTCTCCCCAGTGGGCAGCTTCCTTGGCTGACACAAGCTAAAGCAAATTTAAATGTCTTTGGCCACATACGGGTACATACCTGGCATTATTTGGCAGACGGTCATGGACAGAATAGCAAAAGACAACTGATGAATCTAGGCTGGGTACGTGAGATTTCTTTATACCATTCTTGCAAGTTTTCTATAATCACAGAGTTACATAAAAAAGAAGTTAAAAAGAAATCAGGAAATTCTCATAGTAGTAACAGTAGTAATGCTGGAGAGAGCTACAGCAATAACATTACTAAGAACTAGCAGTCAAAGATTCCCATTGCAAAAAGTCCTCCAGGCTGAGCGTGGCGGCACACATCTGTAATCCCAGCACTTGGGAGGCTGAGGCAGATGGAACACCATGAGTTTGAAGCCAACCTGGGCTACATAGTGAGTTTAAGGCCAATCGCAACCACATAGTGAGACCTTGCCAAAAAAAAGTAAATCCTCTAGTACAAGGAAGGGCAGAGAATACACTATCACAGTCTAAGAGAAACATCTTCACAATTTCTAACAGAGTTCATCTAACTCTAGACTTGCCAGGTTGCCTTCTGCTTATGTCCTGATTTTGCTAAGACTCTGACAGTCGGAGGAAAAGAAAGTCTCACTGGACTAAATAGAAATCCAGTGTGGTGAGCTCATGACATCAAACTGGGCCACTATTTTAGGCCCAAATTTCTAGATTAGGATTCTATTCTATGTTTCTCTAACTTTAGCCTTCACAAGAATCAACGTTGGAATCTTGGAATCTTGAAATATCCATCCCTGGGTTCCAGATGTAGAAATTCTAAATGACAAGGTCTTGGGTGGGCTTCCTAGACAGATACTTCTACTTAGGTGTTGACAACACTCCTGGTTTGTGGATCACAGTTTCAGAAGCACTGATGGGTACTGGTCAGTTTCAGAGAGAACAGTCTCCACTAAGCAGAAACATATGCAAGAATAAACTGACCAAAAGGTACTCATAATTGTTTATATTTATTTTGTAGGATTATGGTAATTTAAATTTTTCCTTATGTATTTCTGTATTTCCTGAGATTTCCATGATTAAATGTTACTTTCATGATCTAAATGGTACTTAAAAAAACAAAATGAAATAGTTCAGAAAACGTTTTAAATATTCATCCAATAGGCAAAACTATGCTCTCAAGATCCTATGAGGTCCCAACCTCTCTTCATGTAATACCAGTTTCCTACGCTTTAGGGAGAATATAACAGAGATTATGAACTCAGTTTCACCAACACCAGCAACACCTACAACTTGTGCAACCTCGGGCAAACAGGCTGTTTCTTCTGTCTCCTCATCCGTTGCATAGCAAAACCAGCAATACCACTTAGCAGCCAGCGGCGGTTTCATTGGCATAAAACTCAGCAACTAGTGTTGAATCACTTCCCAGGCCCTATGACAAGATCCACACATTCTCCGATTTATGTGACTATCTTTGTGGAAAAAGAAACTTTCTACGCACGTAGGCCTCCTCCTCCTTTTCCGTGCAGTGCTTTTAAAGAAATCAGGTCTGAAAAAGGAGTAAAAGTCGTCAAATTCCAAGACTGTGTCTGGGTCTCCGGAAAATTACAGTAGGGTCCCCGGATTCAGCAACCTTCTCCCTAAAAAAACTAAAGGGTAGGGACAATTCAGCTTCCTGGGCTTAAAGTGGATATTTCTTGGAAAATTATACTGGTATCGCTAACACTCCCTATGTTAGGCAGCTTATTTTTTTAATTTTTGAGAAGTCTGCTTTAATAGAGTTGAATATTTAATTTCCCCCACGCTATGCAGTTTAAAACCTTTTGGGCTCATATTTTTTCTCCGATTATTCTGTTCGCAAGGTTTAACTGTGTTCTCTCTTCCTCATTCCCTCCTTTGAGAACAGCAAACGACAACAGACGGATTAATTAACTGAGCCGCCTTGGAGCCACTGCCGGAAGCGGCAGGGCTGGCTGGTGGGGACCCCCGAACCCCGCGAACCGCGACCCGGGTCCGCGCTCACCTGATCGGCGACGCACAGCAGCCTGCCCCGGGAACGCACAGCGGCAGCCCTGCCCCCCAATCCTCCGCTCTTTGCGGCTCCTCTTTTTCTCCCTAGACGAAAAACTGCTACCTGTTGGTCCCAAGGGCATTTGGGAGACGCTGAAAAGATGCCCGAAGGACCCGACCCCTAAATACTCCTCGAATGGGAAAAAAGATGGCTGCTCCGCGGTCCGCTGGAGCGGAAGGACTATGCAGAGCTCCGCACACCCAGAATGGTTCCGCACATTCTTCCCGGAGGGAGAAGCATTTGGAACGCCGGGGTTGGCGAGTGGGGCTGGTGGTCCTGGACTACATTTCCCAGAATTCAGTGGGGCCTCAGGTAGCCGAAGTGTGTGAGCCTGCACGCAGACTTTTAGACTACATGTCCCAGGATGCGACATTGGTGACTTTCCAATTTGTACACCTTTCATATATTTTCCATTCTCTCGCATAAACCAGGATTGCTTATAAGCTCTAGCAATTTTCAAATATTATTTTTGTTTAGTAAAGCAAATTTCACATTCTGGTATCACTTATTACTAATAGGAATATCATTTTCTAAGCCTAAACACATAATGCAATTATTCACTTAACTAAAAAAATTAATACTTTACACCCATACTCGTTACAATTTCCTCATTTGTCTTAAGGATGTTCATTTAGGAAAAAACATTTGAAATCAGATCTCCAAAATAACCACATATTCATTGGTTATGACTATTAAATATTATAATCATTTGTATTGTATGTAACTGAACTCATGGAAAATCACATGATCTCCCCTACACAACATAATTCTAATTAGGCTGGCTGCATCTGAAGTGCTAAAAATAAATTTAAAAATTTGATGTCTTTAAATTTTTTAATGTTGTGGAAAACCCCCCCAAAGAACTATCCCTGGGTTAAGGCAACATATGGTACACAGAGAAAACACAATTTCTTTCCAATGGAAGTAAATCCAAACCCTGGTCATAATATGATAAAATACTGTACCATGATTCTTTATTTTCTCAATGGAACATCCATTCCCTCCATAAGCTATCATTGTAATTTGTTTCATGTATTTCCTCTTGTATGTTTTCTTGTGCAAAATGTATGAACATAGATAGATAACCAATTGGTGGATTTTTTTTGTCTTTTTCTTTTTTTATCAGTACCAGGGATCAAACTCACGACCGCCTGCTTGCAAGGTAGGTGCTTATGCTGCTGAGCTAAATCCCCAGCCCCGATGGAGTTATTTTTTAAATTTTTTTTGTCTTTTTCATTTTTATCGGTACCAAGGATCGAACTCACGACCGCCTGCTTGCAAGGATATTTTTTAAATATCAACTGTGAGATAGTATTACAAGTTTAATCCTGACTGAAGGAAATGAAAACTTTGGTGCACCAAATTGAGACTGCTTTATAATCTAAGTAGCCTTATTTCAGAGCTGTCAGGAAGCCCTTTAAAAAAGGACCTTTAGGGGCTGGGGATTTAGCTCAGCAGCATAAGCACCTGCCTTGCAAGCAGGCAGTTGTGAGTTTGATCCCCGGTACCAATTAAAAAAAAGGACCTTTGTATTCCATTATGATCATTATTTGATAGTAAAATTATTCAGTGTTGGCCACTGGGAGTCTCTTTGAACTGGACTTGGTGCCTTTTTACTTATGTCACCATTCTTCCCTACTTGCTGGCAAAACAAAGTGTCCTAGGCTCATTTTGTGATTTTCCATCCTAGTCTCAGGCAGTCAGCAAAACGGAGCTTGTCTTAAGTGTTTATGTTGTAACCTAGTTTTAACCATTGCGCATCATTTCTGTCCTGTATGCACCGCTCAGCCCCCCCCCCCTTCCTATCTTTCTAGGTTGTTTTAATTTCCTGAGAAAGCTGTAAAAGCCTTAGGTATCAGTTTCCTGTAACCCCCTCCCCTCTCCCTCATCTGGCTATCTGTAATTAAAATGTGCTGTTCTTTAAGAAATGCTTAACTCCAAGGAAATTACAGGAAGTTCTATAAAGCCCAGATGCTACCTGTGTCAGTGATTACAACATTTCTGTGGTTTTCAGCTTTAAAAGCCTAATTCCCCAGCTGAGAGGCGCGCAGTCTCCAAATTGGCTCCCGGGGATTACGTTGCCAGGCCTGGCCTAAAATAAAGCCTTTGCTCCCCAAATTTTAATTTCTTGCTTCCTTGGGTTTTATTCCAGGGTCCGGGCTATCACAATTTCCACTCCCAGGATGGAGACTGCTAACGTTAGCACATGCCTTTCAATGAAACTGACATCACCTAATCTGTACTCTATACTCTAAAAAGAACTATCTTCCTGAAATTCTACTCCAAAGTGAATACTCGTGAGAACTGAAATACATCCACACAAAAATGTATAGATAATGGCCACAGTAGCATTAGTCACAAAAGTAAAAAAAAGTGGAACAATCCAGTGTCCATGAACAATGGATTAATAAATTGTAATACATATATCCAACCCAATAGTATTTGGCAATTAGAAGACTTAGCGTGAGTGACCCACAAGTTTCCTTTCCTTCCAATCCCTCAGGTACCTGTGCTCACCCACCACCTCCTTTCAACTTCCTGCTGGCAGGACCGCCCCTCTGTAAAAGGCCCAAATGCTGACTCTTCCTCACCCATTCTGGACCTGCACAGCAACCACCATCATTTACTTTTCTTTCATTACCCTTAAAGCCCACTGTCATGATTTTTCACATCAAAGTCGAAACTGGGAGGGAGTTTTTTCATGTCACAATTGAACTGCTATAACAGGAATATATATTGGAAGGGGAAAAGAAAAAAAGCTTTTGCAGATATGATTGTCTACAAAGAAAATCCCAAAGAACTCACACAATACCCACTTAAAGTATTCAGTTCAGCAAGACTGCAAGTTTTCAATAAAAGTTAAGAATATTTCCTCATAGTAGCAATAAATAAGTGGAAATTGAAGTTTAAAAAATAGTATCATTTAATTTAGCACCAAAAGCATGGAATTCTTATGTACAAACCCAAAATATTTGCAGAAACTACAAGTTTCTGATGGAAGGAACCAATGGAGTCCTAAACAAAGTATACCACATGGATCATTTGAACATTTGATACTGCTACATTAGCTGTCCTCATACACTGCCCCCCAAATTCTAAGAGTTTATTTTAAAAATCAAAAGTTGATTCTAAAAGTTACTCAAAAGCAAACAAAGCCAAATTAATTCTGAAAAAGAATGGATCTGGAAGACACAGTTAAATTTGAGACATTAAAGCTATAAGAATCATGGTTGTACAGTATGTGACAGAATAATAGGCACAAAGACAATGGAACCAGAGGTCAGGGAAAAAAAACCCTACACATGGGGATTTTTCAGGATAATGTGACAGCAGTTCAGTGCTGCAAAGTATTTAAGAAGCCAGAGCCCTGAGCTGCCATACAGGAAGTGCCGTCACTGTTCAGAGCCCACCCGGAGAGGTTCTAAGAGCACGGAAGGACAGAGATGTCCCAGGCCTAGCCACCAGGTGACTGCAGCTGAGACCTGAACAAGCTGGCTGAGCCTCTGCCCCAGTTTCCATGAGAGAAGAGACTGTTGTCTTGAGAGAAGGAGAGAGAGAACACTTAATTGTAAGAAAGGAATTTTGACCTTGTACCCTATAAAAATTAATTGAAATGTGTTATAGTCCTAGATGCAAACTTGAAACCTTAAAATTTTTGGATAAGAGTTTGTGTATCTCGAACTAGAAAGCATAATCCATTGAAGATAAAAACTGAACATCAAAAAATAGATTGTGAAAAGTAGTTACTGAAATGAAGATAAGCCATATATTGGGATAAAATATTTGCAAATAGGATGGCAATAGATGTATATGGAGAGCATTAACAAAACAGAAAGAAAAAAACTACTGAAAAAGTAAGAAAAAAACCCCATCCAGTTAAAAAAGGGCCAAGATTCTAATAAAAATAAATAGGTATATATTAACAGCAAAGTGTAAGTTAAAATCAAAATGAGATACTCTTGTGAAATGCAAAAATAAAAACTAAACCATAAGATGCCAATTGCTGATGAGGAGAAACAACTGGAACTTTCACACACCGATAGTGGGAATGCAAAGTGAATGGCCATTTTAGATGTTGTCATCTTTTTGGTAAAATTAAACACATCCTAGCATAACATCTAGTCATAATCCTAGATATTTAGGATGACAAAGGAAATCTTAGGTTGAATGATAAAACTGTACACAAATGTTTATAACTGTTTTCTTCATAATCACCAAATCTAAAAATTCAAAGTCTTTAGTCAATAAATACATGAATGTGGTACATCCATACAACAGAATAGTACTCAGCAATGAAAAGGGGTGGTGGAGCTCAGGGATGAAGCTTATAGGCAGAGCACTTGCCAAGCATGTACAAGGCCCTGGCTTCAATCTCCAGCACTGTGAAACTGTTGAAAAGGGAATGGCTGACATATAAAGCACAAGTGAATCTCAGGAGCACTAAAACTAAGAAATGAGACTCAACAGGCTACGTATCATAAGATTCCATTCATGATATCCTGCAAAAGGCAAACTATAACCGAAAACATTTCAGTGGTTGCTAAGGGCTGGCAATGAGAACTGCTCACCACACTAACGGAATTTCAGGGCAGGGGATGCTGGAATTGTGAGATACCTTCATTGGGTGGTGGTTACCTGAGCATAGGCATTTGCCAAGACTCACTAATATACTAAAACCAGCCTACTATAAATATAAATTATGTTCCTTAATTTAAAAAAATTTAAAAGATGTTAGCCTATTTTCATATGTATCTTTTATCTACTTTTCATCTGAAACGTGTTAAATGTGTCAAACTGTGTCAAATGTTCTATCAAGATCATAAGAAAAAAAAAAGATCCTAAGAATCCACACCTGAAAATGAAAACAGAGCTAACTAATTTATAGCACTGAAATCAATCCCTGAACATGGGATTGACTGGAAATGGGAATAACTGTTTCTGTTTAATAGAAACTTTGGATTCACTGGTCATAGTGATTTGATTACATTTCATAGTGATTTGTTAAAATTCAGGAAGCCACAAAGTTGAGATTTATGGACGTTATTTCATGCAAACCTTTTCTCGATAAAATAGCATATGAATGTGCTGGTCATAACCCACTGAACTGATCTGGATTCATTAATAGACTTCAGCTTCCAATTTGATAAACATTAGTCCACAGGATTTGCACAATTTGGAACATCCCACTCGTCTAACTTAAATGGCCTGTAAGCCTTATGCAATACTCTGAGGACAACTTTACAGAAACTGAACAAACGTTTCAAATACAATTGGTCTCATTTCTACTCATATAAGAACTAGAGAATGCATACAATGTGTTAGGCACTGAAAGGCAGAGTGCATTTGGCAGTCAGCAGAAGTCCCTAGCCTCTTGGAACTTGTCTTCTAATGCAATAGATTTTGGCACTTCCATCTTACATCTTGTAGTTAATTCCAGGTCAGACTCACTCTTCCTGAGCACCCTGTCCAGGTGTATCGGCATGTTCTAAATGAAATGCACTTGGATACACTTTCACATGGCTTCTCTATTGTATGGCCTCCCAACCACAGCAATGTCAAGCTAATTCCAATGCTGACCTTCTGTGAAACAAGTTTTTTGTCTCCTATGACAGCTCTGATCACTGGAGTATTTCAGCACCCATTTGAAATATTAAAACACAGTATTTTATAGTTTATTTCCTGTATAAGTGCTCTGATGAAGAGAAGTGCTTGTTACCCTCATCATCGGCATGGACTCGCTGATGAATTATAAGACTTGAACTCCAACTGAAGCCCTTCCCACATTCTTCACATTTGTATGGTTTTTCTCCAGTGTGAACTCGCTGATGGGCCTGAAGGTATGAGCTCCAACTAAAGACCTTTGCACATTCCTCACATTTGTACGGTTTCTCCCCAGTGTGGACCCTCTGGTGGGCCTGAAGATAGGATCTCTGTCGGAAACGCTTTCCACACACATCACATCTATATGGTTTTTCTCCTGTGTGAACCCCTCGATGAGCGAGAAAATTTGAGGCCCGACAGAAGCCCTTTCCACATTCCTCACACTGATACGGTTTCTCTCCTGTGTGGCACCTCTGATGGGCCTGAAGCTGTGACCCCACACTGAAGCCCTTCCCACACTCTACACACTGGTACGGTTTCTCTCCTGTGTGGACTCTCTGATGTACTTGAAGACTTGAGAACTGACTGAAGGCCTTACCACACTTCTCACATTTATAGGGTTTCTCTCCTGTGTGAATTCTGAAGTGAACATTAAGATCTGAACTCCGACTGAAGCCCTTCCCACATGTACCACATTTGTACGGTTTTTCTCCAGTGTGACCTCTCTGATGGGCTAGAAGATTTGAGGCCTGGCTGAAGCCTTTACCGCACTCCTCACATCTATAGGGTTTTTCTCCTGTATGGACTCTAAAATGAATGTTAAAATCTGAGCTCCGGCTGAAGCCCTTACCACAGGCATCACACTGGTATGGTTTCTCCCCCGTGTGGCCTCTCTGATGGTCCAGGAGATTAGAGGCCCGACAGAAGCCCTTCCCACACTCCTCACACTTGTATGGCTTCTCCCCAGTGTGGCTTATCTGATGGGCTTGAAGGTGTGAGCCTACACTGAAGCCTTTCCCACACTCCTCACATTTGTAGGGTTTCTCTCCCGTATGGATTCTGCAATGAATGTTGAGATGTGAGCTGTAACTAAAGCCTTTGCCACAGGCGCCACATTTGTATGGTTTCTCCCCAGTGTGGATTCGCTGATGGGCCTGAAGTCGTGAACGCCAGCTGAAGCCCTTTCCGCACTCTTCACATTTATAAGGCTTCTTTCTAGTGTGGATCCCCTGATGAACTTGAAGATATGAGCTCTGACTGAAGCTTAGCCCACACTCCTCACATCTATGGTGTTTCTCTCCTGGGTGGGCCATCAGAGGAGCCTGGCAATGAGAGCTTTTCCTGGTCTTCTTTCCATACTCCTCATATTTGTATGGGTTCCCTCCTGTCAGGAGTCTCTGCTGGGGGCAGAACTGTGACCTCTGACTGAAACCCATGGATGAGAAGTCAGGTTTGTGTGATTTCTCTCTACTATGCACTCTCTGATGGGCTTGAAGACTTGAAAACCGACGGAAGGTGCTATCACAATTTTCACACCTGTAGGGCTTTTCTCCTGCGTGGGCTCTCTGGTTAACCTGACGATGAGAGTCCCCAGTAGAACATTTCTCATACGCCTCCCCTTTGTAAAGCTTTTTACCACCATGGACTCTGAGGTGAACCTGAAGGTGTGAATTCTGACTGAAGTGTTTACTGAAACCTTCATGTTCGTAGGGTACGTCATCTAGCTTTTTCAACTGAGAGCCAGTTTCTTGAGTATTCGCCACAGGCTCCTGACACCTGGATAACTCCCTGGTAACTTGCTGCCAGATCTGTGAGCAGAAAGGCTCTTCATGGGGCAGGTACCTTGAGCCTACTTCTTGAAGAGTCTCCATCTCATTTAATTTCTTGTCTGCTAAAAGAACAAAGAGAATTCAGAGATAGAGCATGTGAATGCTTTATTCAGACATGTCAGTTATATACTTAGAAACCCAGACTAAGGTTTTAGAAGACTGTTTTTCCTCTTTCATCATACCAAGGGGTGGTTTCTGCCAGGTCTCACCACACATTAACGAGACTAATAATTCAGAGTTTAAGTTTCATAAGTGAGCTGCAGGTTAGAAATTTGAAGAAAAGTACTTCCTATGAAATTTTTACCAAGAAGCTGCACCTCACTAAAACCCTTGTTCCTTTTGCTGCAGCAGGTGTTTGAAAAGCATCTTCCACATTATTCTGCCTATGCATGGACTCCGGAACAACGTGACCCTGCTGAAACATCCAGTAAGATCCCTACAGACAGATGATCAGACATCGTTGGACAATGCTGGGAATCTCTACCCTGCATTATTTCTTCGGAAGCTGACTGCAACGTTAGGAGCTCTGAGGCAATGGACAGGTGATTTTTGGAAGAAAATGCCTCGGGCCCTAAGTGGCTAAAGTTCAGAGTGCAAGCAGAATGCCCACCTCCTTCCAGGATACACCCCCACAAGAGCAGCCGGTGAACAGGCTTCCAGTAATGACACAGTTCTAAAGCCTGAGGGCAAACAGTCTCTAAGGGAGAAAAACGAAACCCTGGAAGTTAATCTATAATAACAGATTGAGAACTCTGAGGAAGAAGTAAAGCAACAGGACAGATTTCCAAATGCAACACTAGAGAGAAAAAGCTAATGTTCTCCTCAGAGTTCTATTCCTCCATTCCCTGTATGGCTTGCTACGTATTTGTTTGGGGCTCCAAAGAAAACTGCCCCAGTCAGGCCTCTTTTCCCACCCATTACGTACCCTGGGCAGTGTCTGCTCACCTGACTCTTGTTTCGTTCCACGAAGCTCACGTAGCCCTCTGGCCTACTACATGCCCTTCAACCTGTTCTGTGCCTCCTTCCACATGATTGCAATGCCCATCAAGACAAGCCCTTGTACTGTTCACGCTTCATTGCCAACCCCCAGAGCACTGCCTGATAGTGTTCAATAAATGTGTACTCAATAAACAAATGAATTCTAGTTTGACTAAGTTACAAAAATACAAATTTCTGTCGGGTGTGGTGGCATATACCTGAAATCCCAGTACTTTAGAGGCTGAGGCAGGAGGATTGCTACAAGTTTAGAGTCAGCCTGGACTACAAAATGAGTTCAAGGCCAAACTGACCGTATAGTGAAACCCTGTCTCAAAAGGGGGGGTGGCCAGAGAGTTAGCTCAGTGACACAAGTGCTTTCCTGGCAAGTGCGAGGTCATGCATTGGATCCCCAGTACAAAAAGAAAGGGGGCGGGGAATAAAGCAAAGAAACACTTTTTTCAAGTGGGTTATCCAGAATAGGAAAGAGATTTAAAACATCGTGGCTGAGAAGTTGAAAGATACCACAAAACTAAAGGGCTGAGCAAACTGAATGTTGCTGATAAGAAAATCAGGCTGCTCACCAAATCATGGCAGAATCATTAAAAGAAAAAATCACAAGGCAGGAAGTGGCTATGGGGCCTCCATGGATACTGACTGCTTCTGAAATTTTTGTACTCCCTCCATAAATATGAAAAACACTTCATTGGTAAGGGAAGAGTCAATATTTAGAGCCCCAGGAGAAACAAGGATAATGCTTGTCTGAAAGCAGGTTATATAAAATTGATGAAAGTAAACTGTTCTATATGGTGATGTCAGTGCTTTTCAAATTGAAGGCTGTGGTTCAATGATGTTGTTTGTTTATTTATTTTTAATGACTTTAAATTTAGTAGCCAATGGCAAGTACATTTTTTGTTTTGTTTTGTTTTTTTCTTTTGGTACCGTGAATTGAACTCATGACCTCAAACTTGCTAAGCAGGTGCTTCTGCTGCTGAGCTAAACCCCCAGCCCTAGCAATGATATACATTTGCAAAAATAACATAAGCTAGGCATGATGGCACATGCCTGTAAACCCAGCACTTGGGAGGCTGAGGCAGGAGGATCACTGCAAGTTCGCTACAAAGTGAGCTCAAGGCTAGCCTGAACTGCACAGCAAGACCCTGTCTCAAAAAGATCAAACAAATCAACCAAAAACCCAGATAAGTTAAGTTCATGACTACATAGCTTGTCATTTCCATACATATTTTCCAAGCAGCACCTCCAAATGTGATCTTTTCATCTTCCTAAAGTTATGTCAATTTTGAGAAGGCTCATGTCCTTGTTCCAGTCAGTTTGTTTCCCAGTGAAATGATGTTAGTCAGGCCTTTAATAAATGAAAAGAAAGCTGTCCAATCTCCACTCTAAAAAAATAGTTTCTCTCTAAGTGAATGTGAGAGACGGAGAAAATGACACTCGACTTAGTTATAACCCCAAGGCTAAGCTCTCCCGAGATGTGCGTGCCATGGCCTAAAAGTGTAGCTCTCCACAACTCTTAGGTGAAACACAAACCCTCAGGGCGATGGTGACATTAGGGGGAAATAAGTAATGAGGGCACAGCTCTCAGGAATAAACAAGAGCCTACAAGAGAAGCCTGAGAGGCACCACTTGCCCTTACACAAGTGAGGACAGCAAGAAGGTGCTTCCTTCAGCCAGACAGGCTCGCACCCAGACATCAGATCTGCTGGAGACCTGAACGGGATTCACCAGCTTCCAAAACCGAGAAGGCGTATCTGCTGTGATAAGCCACCCAGCCTAGGGCATTTTGTCATAGTAGTCTAACAGGCTAACATGGTGAGCTAATACACAATAATGCATACATACACATATCCAGCAGCAACCGGTAAACTGAAATTAGGCATTTATCAGGGAAAAAAGGGTTCTAGACCACACTTTTTTTTTTTTTTGTCTTTTTGAGTCAGGGTCTCGCCATGTTGTGTTCAGGCTAGCCTTGGGCTCACTTTGTAGCCCAGGCTGGTTTCAAACTTGCAACGATTCTCCTGCTTCAGCCTTCCGAGTACTGGAATTACAGGAGCATGCCACCATGCCTGGCATCGTCACATATTTTTATTTACCAACCTTTAAGTACCTCTGCAACCGCTGGGAAAAAGTCCATGTAACACGCTTAACTCATTCATTTATTCACTCAACAACTATTTACAGCACAACTGCCCTCAGCCAATTCTGTCCTGTACACTGAAAATAGACAATGAATAAAGCAGTTAAATTTCTCTTCTTGCTGGGATATGGCTCAGTGGCACAAGTGCCTGCCTGGCAAGTGTGAGGTTATCAGTTCAATCCCCGGTACCAAACTTCTCTTCTCCTGAGGTCTCATTCGAGTGCAAATGTAATGACAGAAACATATAAACAAGCAGGTACAGTGGCACACATCTGTAATCTAAGCTACTCAGGAGACTGAGGCAAGACAAGGGGGAGTCACAGTGGCGTGTACTGAGCAATGAGGGAAGAGACAGGAGCAGAGACACATGGGACACCCTCACCCAGTTTAAGTACATGGACTTTAAACCACGTGAGAAGGCACTGGAGGTTAGGATAGGGCAGTGACATGATTCAGCTTTCAGAGAGGTTGATCCAAGTGGAGAACAGATGGCGGCCACAGCCACCCAGGGGCAAGGCTGTTCTAGACCAGTGCAAAGCTGGGGCCTGGCGATGAGCAGGACAGACTCGGTCGCTCACCAGGCTCTCACCTGAGGCATCGTCACTCTGGACTGTCATCTCCCTCATCCAGAGCTTTCCCTGCCTCTCTAACTGGGGTGAAATGTCTGCTGTGATGAATCGATGCTCTGTGAAAAGCAAGGACGTGGATTTAAGATAAATACACCCGAGGCCAGATTACTAAAGATTGTACGTATTCTCACCGTATCATCTTTAGGACATCAAAACTAGTGTTTTCCAAACCTTTAGTAGTGACTGAATCAAGGAAATGTATCTTATGCATAACCCCCAAATACGCACACATTAGTACAAATTACTGGAAAAAGTATCTGTTTTTATCACATTTTCTCCACTGTCTCACACTGTTGTTGCCAAAAGGACTGTAGTTTTTGTCCAGGGCTCGGACATTTTCTATTCCATTTCATTTCATTAAACAATTGTAAAATTCACTAAATGTGCAACACGTACCCTTAATTAGAAATGACAGTAATTTAGGAAAAGACAGAAATACATAGCAATCATGCTATCGACTTATATGACAAAACACGTTAGGCAGGGGAGAAAGACAAGAAAAATTCCAACCATGTATCTCATGGTGATCTGAAACTAGAAACCACCACTCGAGAGCTGCAAGGACCTGAGCATCTAGGAATGCAGGGACACCGCAGGGCGTGGAGGATCAGTCAGAGCACCGTCCTCACCCACGGCGAGCAGGTTCCTGAAGTTCTCCAGCATCACTTCCCGGTACAGCTCCCTCTGGGCAGAGTCCAGCAGCCCCAGCTCCTCCTCGCTGAAGACCACGGCCACGTCCCTGAAGGTCACCGCCTCCTATGACACAAAATGCACTCCGCTTGATCTCACAGCAAAGCCCACTAGAAGAAGGGTGGCACTAAGGACAGTGGAGAGGGTGTGCAGGAAGTAGGTCCAGATGCTGAGAGACCAGAGTCAGTTTTACTGTGATGCATGTTAAAAGATCTTTTCAGCTGGGCATGATGGCACATGCCCGTAATCCCACCGTTTGCTTTGGGAACAGAGACAGCACATACTGTCACTCTCGTTTTGCTACTGTTTTTGTATAGCTTTGTGTACAGCAGTGTGTCTCAACTTTAGCACTAGTGATCCTAAATGAGCCCCAGGAGCCGCTCAGAAGGAGCCTCCTAAGAGTGAAACAGGACCCGTGGCATCTTCCAGCCACCAGAACAAGGGGCACCCACAGAAGAGCAGGCCTACCTCTCGCTCCTCTCTCTATCCAAACAAAAATCCTAGGAGTTTTGTTTTTAAAAATTAGTTGGTTTTCTGGTCTTCTTTGAGAACTTAGGCACCTTTCTCAAATCCTACAATCCTTTTTCTTTGTAGTGTGAATGAAACCAAATATTGCCGCTTAAGGTTGATCTGAGGACTAAAGGCAGGCAAACAAAACAGAACAGAACCAAAAAAGAAAAACGACCTGGCAAGTACATTATTACTTTGATAAAATATACTGGTGAAAAATATATATCAGTATGAACACATCCAAAGTATGACTCAGCCATAGGTGAGACAATCCTAGTTTCTGATCAGGCACAGTGGTACACAGCTCTAATCCCTGCTACCCGGGAGGCTGAGGCAGAGGATGCAAGTTCAAAGCCAGCCTGAAGAACTGAACAGCTCTTGCCTAAAAATTATACAATAAAAAGGGATGGGGGTTAGTTCAGTGGCACAGCACTTGCCTGGCTTGCACAAGGTTCTGAGTTCCAGTCTTGGTCCTGAAAATAAAAATCTGGCTTTCTTATGTGAAAATACCTAATAACATCTTCTCTGATCAGACCATGATGCTACATGCTATATTTCTATATTCCACATACAAACTATCCAAAGCACCACATACGGTATCAAGAATATAATTTAGTATCCCTAAAGCAGTAGGAAGAAGTAATAGCAAACTTGCTCTTTGGGGAAAATCTTGTATGCGGGAAGACTTTACCACAGTGATCCTCAACACAGTAAAAATGCAAACTACCTAAATGCCCGTGAGTAAAGAAAAGTTACCTTCACACACTCACACACATACACCCAGACACACATGCACGCAAGCACACACACACCCCATACAGAGTACCTCAGCCTACGGGGATACGACGCAGTCATCAAAGCTGTAGGGCACAGAGCATTGCTTAGAAGAAGCATAATTTGAAAATTTTACCTATGCTATGACTACAAATATACTATGATGAATGCACATGAGGAAAAGAATACAGGAAAATAACCACTGTTTTACAGGAGAAATAATAGATGGTGGGAGTTTTCAGTCACTACTATTGACTTCTATTCTATGCTTACTCATCAAATTATAAAATAAGATAAAATTACAAAAATTAAACTACATGGAAAAAAAGGTGGCACACATGGACAGCAGAGATTCTCGAATGCCTACGGTTCCCTTTGATCTTTCCTCAGATTAAAGAAACAAGGTGTGTGCAATCCCTGAGGAAGGAGATGACGTTTAAAACCTACAAAAGTGAGCCCAACTCACCTTGAACTTGGTCATTGTGTCCTCTTCCTCCTGGGGAAGTGGCTGGGTCTTAGGAAGGCACGATGGGGGAGAAGGAAAACAGCCGTCAGCACCTGGCCAAGAGCGTCACTAACCCACTCGGCTGCTTTGCGTGAAGGAGCAACCCCGCCCGTGGGCTGCCGTGATGAGCAGACTCGTGGGTCCAGATTCCACCCACTCCTTCAGCACAGGGCCCCTGGGAACGCGCGACTCCCCCATGCAGCGTGGCCCTAACACAGTGCTCCCTAAGAGCCTCACAGTATCATTCGAACTCTAAAAGGACAGAAACGGAAGGTCCAGCAGGTAAGGAGAGTAAACTCTGGCCCAGACACTTACATTCCTGGCATTTCTGTTTACCAGCTGTGAAATCCTACCTGCATTATCATCTCTGTATATCAATTCTTTCATCCATAAAATAGATATTTAACAATTAGAGAATTAATCTCAGGATTAAGAATTCAGTGAGAAGGAAAAAAGCTTAACAAGCACTCTCTGTAGCCTTCTCCTTACACTATGAAAAAGAGGTAATACTCAGTAACAAAGAACTGAAGTCTCCATAAGGGATTTTTGTCCAGGGAAACTTTACCTTTCATGTCTGAAAATCGTTATTCTTAGTTTTTCATACTTAATTTAATGCCTGTCTAGTAATAATTAAGGTCACATATGAGGTATGATCAAAATATACAGAGAGGCCAGGCTTATAATCCTTGTACTTAGAGGCTGAGGCAGGAGGATCATTGTGTATTTTAGGCAGTGATTTCAAGGCCTAATGAAACTGCATAGTCATGTCTCAAAAAAAAAAGTAAATGTCTATATTTTAAAACTTTATTATAGGGGTCGTGGTTTAGCTCAGCAGCACAAGCTCCTGCCTGCCAAGCAAAAGGTTGTGAATTTGATCCCCAGTACAAAAAAACGAAAACCAAAAAACTTGATTACTGTAAAAAAAATCATACTGCCATTAATTCCGCTTAAACTATTTTTCCTCCCTTTTTTTTTTTTTTTTTTTTTTTTTGTCTTTTTCGTTTTTATCGGTACCAGGGATCGAACTCATGACCGCCTGCTTGCAAGGCAGGCGCTTATGCCACTGAGCTAAATCCCCAGCCCCTCTCCTCCCTTTAAATACATTTACCCACTGTTCTTAACACTTTCTGAAACAGTTCTTTGAAGTTTTCCTTAGTGAGTGTCTTTAGAGGTGTGATTAAAAATACAGGGAATGCGGCTGCTGAAGGGCAGAAAGAAAGCGCGTAAAAACCGGTGTGTCCCTCAGTCAGAGTCACAGGTCTGGCACCAGGCCTTCTGGTTCGAATGATCACAGGAGGGAAACGCTCTAAACCAGTTCAGGACGTGAAGCAGCCTAGCGCAACTCACGATGCTTATGAAAGGGATTTCTGGGACAGCTTTGGAAGTGAAGAGAAGGAGGAGGTAAGCAAGTCTGAAGCAAGGGTAAGTATGGGGTGATGTTACTGACACTGCCTTTGCTGTAATAAATTAAAAAAATTTAACAGTCACTGTGATTTTTAATCATTAGATGAGTGGGACTTTTAGGGAGTAAAATACACATCAAATTTACCATTTTAAACCAGTAAGTGTACAGTTCATTGTTATACAGCTATACCCGATGTTCAGCTCAGAATTTTTGTATCGGTCCAAATTGAAACTTTGCAGTAAACTCCCCATCCTCTTCCCGCCCCGGCTAACTATGCTGTCTCAATGAACTTGACTACATTGTTGATTGAGCTTTCAAAGATGTAAGACCTTGCAAAAAGTTTTCAACATGGGAGAGAGAAAATTTCATAAAAACCTACGTCTCTATCCTGTATATCTAACCATGTATTTGATAATCACTATACCGTGCGAGTAACAAGCTACAGTAGTCGTTGCAAGAATAAAAAGTCAACATTAAGTACCTGCTCGGAGTCCTGTAAGGCACTTGGCATACACTGTTCATGAACTCACACATACCTGTTACACCACTGCTGCGCCAGTCCTGTGACCTTGGTCCAACCACCTAAACCTCTGTGCCTATCCTCAGTTACGAAAAGAAAAGAAAAAGAAAAGAGAAGAGAAAAAAAGAAAAGTCAAGTCAGTCGAGGGATTATTCTGGAAGCAAATGAATGAATTTATGTGGTAGCCTTGGCAAAGTACCTGACATTTTTGGAGGTTCTCAGCTACTGAAGACAACTGCTGCACCCACAGAGCAGGTGAGGTTGAGGGGCAGGAGTAACCCCCGAATCTGATTCTCATGCCAGCACCAACACTCTCAGACTTGTCTCTCTATTCTTTTTCCTTTCCTCTTCTCTTTTCTTCTCTCTTTTTTTCTTCGAGACAGGATCTGGCTGTGTAGTCAGGCTGGCCTGGAACTCATGGCAAACCTCCTGCCTCAGCCTCCCAAGTGCTCAGATTACAGGTTTGCGCCATTGTGTCCAGCATTCTGCTGTTTCTATGGACAAAAATAAGCAGATGGGAGCTTCAGGTGGCACAGAAAGAGAGCTAGGATAAAAGACAGACATGCAAATGAAGGCAGAACTCTGAAGATGCAGGGACTGCTTGAGGGAGAAGAGAACTGAGTTATGAACAAGACAGACCCTAAAGCCACTCTCAGGTGTTAGGACAGTGGCATCTCCAACCTGATGGCACTTCTGCCTCTACGTCTCATCTGTGACTAGGGGATGATGATGATAATGCCAAACTCACAGGAAGGTCGCAGTGACTAAATACACATACAGCATTCGCCACAGTGTCCAGCAGCTTAAACATTCAATTAGATCACCCAGATATCCACGTGGCTGCTGTTTCTGGGTGCTAGGGATGGAATGTGAAAGCCCTAATGTGATGTGCTTGGCCTCCAGAAGGTAAGTGAACCCTGAGTTAGAGCCCTTACAATGGGATTAGTGCCCTTATAAACAGAGATGGTGGATACCCATCCCCACTGCCCCAGGATGAGGACAAGGAAGACAGGGAGCGAGGGGAAGGGGAGCTCTTTGTGTCTCTTATATTGAATCTAGTCTACTGGGATTAGGGTGTTGCCAATTCAATCAGTAGACTGATCCAGCAATCACTCACCCTTAATCCCAGAACCCTTAATTCTGGAATTGAGCCAGGAACCAATTACAAACTCTTGATTCAGCTCCTCCAAAACGTCCCATCTAAAAGTGCATAGGACTTTAGGGGGGCATCTAGATACAAACCACAACACAAGGCACTGGGTTTGCCAGTACCTTATCTTGGACTTCCAATCTCCAGAATGGTAATAAATAAATGCATGCTGTTTAAGCCACCTGGTCTATGGTATTTATGTTATTTCATCCTAGACTTATTTGGTCATTCAGGGCAGCTAAGCAGCACACAGCCTGATGAGCAGGGCACAGCCTGAATTCTAGATGCTGCTGAAACCCTCAGCTCAGGGCCACTACATGTGAACAACCCACCCAAGCTACACAGTGGCCCTAATGTAAATTCTCCTCGTAGATCTGTCCCTGACTCCAGGCAGGATGGAAACTGAAGACAAAGTAAATTGGGCTTGGTGGTGGTGCACACCTGTAATACCAGCTGCATGGGAGGCCGAGGCAAGAGGACTGCAACTTGAAGGCAATCCCGGGGAATTTAGGAGACTGTCTCAAAACAAAATAAAACAAGGGCTGGGAATGTAGCTCAGCACTTTCCTGGCTCAATGCCTCGTATTATGAGGCAGTGGGGGGAGCGGAGATTACTATTAGTTAGTTACAAGTAGTAAGTCCTCTTATTTCAGACAGAAGAACCTTACTATGGAAGCTTGATGCTATTCTGGACCCTTAATGGCCCCTAAAGATCCACTGCACTTGATCCCCAGTGCAATAATACTGGGAGATGGTGGTGGAAGCTTTCAGAGGTGAGGCCTACGGGGAACTTTTAGGTCATAGTAAGCGTAGCCTCAAAGAGGACTGTGGGAGCCTGGCCCTTTCCTTCTTCCTCTTTTTTTTTTTTTTTTTTTTTGCTTCGTGGTCATGAGGTGCGTGGTTTTGCTCTGCTATGTGTGTGTAGCCTCCCCACAAACTCTAATCAAGGAGGCCAATGTATTATGGACCGGACCCTCTAAAACTGTGAGCTACCTCATCATTTTCAGAAGTTGGTTCTATTACAGTCACAGAACGCTAACACACTTAGCGTTCTGTATGGCTTTCTTTCTAGTCTTAGAAGAAATCTCCCTTGAGAATGTGTGACTTGTTTTGTTCTCATTCTACATTTACCTAGAAATCTCCAGTAAAAGTGTTTGGCAGAGAGATCCATCCTTCCATCTTCTCTGAGGTAAAAGGGTTAACTAATTGGTCAACCATCTGTCACAGTGGAACTTAAAAATTCTCAAGCCCTGGGGGCTGGGGATTTAGCTCAGCGGCATAAGTGCCTGCCTTGCAAGCAGGCAGTCATGAGTTCGATCCCTGGTACCGGTAAAAATGAAAAAGACAAAAAAAAAAAAAAAAAAAATTCTCAAGCCCTATCCACAACAGTTAGCTCAGTACCTGTGGAGGAGGGATGCTGACATGCAAACTTTTATACATCCCCTATACCCCTGCCACCATTGCATTGTCCAGACAGGACAGTGTACCAGGCAACGAATCTGGGCAATCCAACACCTGTACCAGTAGGCAACGGTTCCCAAACTCTGCCATGGTCTGAGCCTGAGAAACCAAACACTGCCTTAACATTTTTGAGTCTCCAGGGCCAGAGGCCTAACCATGAGTTCCCCTGTCTTCTCTAGATATGTCTCCTCCCCAGTGTTAATTTAATCTTTTTATTCTGTTGTTTCTAACCTCTCCATAGGTGCTGAACCACAAGATCAGACTTAGAATTAAATTCCTTCCATCTTTCTGCAAGCAGTTTTCACAGAGGACTTACTATATTTCTGGACTAGTCTAAGCACATTATACACCATGTCTCTTTTGATGACAGAAACCTTAGGAGGTATGTGTTGATATCATTCCTACTTGATAGGTAAGGAAACTGAGGCACAGAGAGGGTGATTACCTTCCCCAAGGCCATCCAGGTACTGTACTCAACCGACATTTCCAACCGGGGTGCTGAGGTCTGATCCGAGCTCTCCTTCTTTTAGAATGTACCCCCAAGTCATTTATTCAGTTAAGTCATCTATGCCTATTTCTTCCTCTCTCAAATGAGAACGTGGGGCCGGGGATTTAGCTCCGCAGCAAGCATCTGCCTGGCATGCACAAGGTCGTGAGTTCAATCCCTGCCACCAAAATTAGTAAGTAAAATAGGAACATGAATAAAACTGTAATGAGAAATAAATGAGTTAACTGCAAACAATGAATTCTCCAAGTCATAAGGAACACCCAACAAATGTCAGCTGGTCACCATTTCCCTGATCTCCATGTGATAGACAAAATAGCAAACATTAACGTTGTCTCGAAAGGTCTTTGTTTTAGATCACAACAATACTGTCTACAATCCTCCATCACTTTGAATAGTCTGAAAAAGCTGATGAGTTCTATAGCCCACCAAAGATAAGTGAGATAAAAGACAAGGGACATGGTCTTGCAGTTTTGTTATCTAAGCTCCTCACGTTCTGCTGCTTGCTGGACAGCTACACGAATCACAGCTACTCACTGAGTGACTCCTCTCTGCCAACCTGTTGGTGGCTCTCTGAGACTATGATGAAGTCTGGGAAACACAGAAAAGAAATGAATAAAAGGATGAAAGAGGCTGGGAATTTAACTCAGTGGCTTAAGTGCCTGCCACTCACGAACCCATGAGTTTGATCCCCGGTACCAAAATAAATAAAAAGTATGAAAAAGACAAGAAAAAAGAGAAAGAAGAAAGTGAAAGAAAAGAGAGATAGAGACACCAAATTTGTACGTCTGTGGCTACCATAAGTCTAGAGCAACAAAAATTAATCATCATCTTTTTCCTAACCCCATCTTATTCTAGGTTTCTCATATAAATGCAGTCTATTCTTCTAGTTGCCAAGACTGAAAACCTTAAGAGTTGCTATTGGGCTGGGGATTTAGCTCAGCGGCATAAGCAGGCAGGCAGTTAAGTCTTGCCTTGCAAGCAGGCAGTCGTGAGTTCGATCCCTGGTACCAATGAAAACGAAAAAGACAAAAAAAAAAAAAAAAAAAAAAAGAGTTGCTATTAACTCTTCACATGTGTTACAGGATGTGTTACCCACTGAACTCATGTGTTACAGCTCTAACCTTCAGTGTCTCTGACCAGAGACAGCGCCCTTACAGAGGTAAGTAAATTAACACACCAAGCGACAGCCCAGGAGTCCTTACACAGAAAGGAGAGAGGCTTCACTAACATACTGACCTTGAACTTCTAGCCTCTAGACCTACAAAAAAAAAAAAAAAAAAAACCCAAAAACAAAAAACAAATTTCTGTTGTCTCAAACCATCCAATGTGTAGTATTTGTTAGGGCAGCCCTACCAAATGAATATAATCTTTCGTGTCTTAGTCTTCATACATAATTTATTATTTTTTTTTTAGAACTCCTTTACAATGAACTATACTCTTGCCTTTCTTAATTTTATTTTGAGATAGGATCTCACTAAGGCACTAAATTGCCCAGATATGGGTCAAATTTGGTTGAGATCCTCCTGCTACAGCCCCCCAAAATGCTGGGACTACAGGCATGAACTAACACACCTCGCTTATGTAAATGTTTAAGTCACCCTGACTCAATATCTACATTTGCTTTAAAATAGTCAGTGGAAAAAAGATAGGAGGCTTAAAGCAGCAATAATGGCAAGTAATGAACTTGCAGCTGTTACATAGGAGTTCATTATATATATATTGAGTATGTTCAGAAATTTCCACAGTAAAAAAGTAAAAACTGGGGCTGGGGATTTAGCTCAGTGGCATAAGCGCAGGCGCATGGTCATGAGTTCAATCCCTGGTACTGATTTAAAAAAAAAAAGTAAAAACTCACTATGCTAACAGAAATGCAGTTACTGTAATTTTTGCTGATACGGTACTATATGCCACTGTACTGTAGTTTTATGTTCTGTCATACATTACAGTACTGCATGTAAAAGTTATGCAAATAAAAGCATAGTCATCAAGCTAGAGTTTCTTTCGACCATTTCTTTGCCCTGAATATTATACACATATTATATACAATTCATCATTTAGCAACCTAGTTGCAGAAAGGCAATTTAGCTTTTAGATGAGAAGTGTCTGTAATCTGTATCTGAATGTTATAGATAATTCTGAATATTTTTCTTTGCATATTTCTATACGTTCAGAATTCTCTATAGAGAGCTTCACTTTTATGATCAGAACTATACATACTGCTTAAAATAGTTAAATGAAAATAACAATTTTACAGATAAGTTGAAATTCACTAATTGTACTTTCAAAATCCTCTACACACAATACAAAAATTTTAAAAATCCTTAACAATAAAATTCCAACCCCATTCCCAACTTAATGCCAAATAACTCCTCTGAAGCTAGTCCTTCATGATTGGATACTTACATAGGTTTTCCTATTTTACTTCCTCACTTTAACTTTGGGGTTCCAAACTATGTGAGTAGCAATATCAAAACATAGAAAGAACCAAGCTCTAGACAGGATGTCCACCATTCGTACTAGAATGGGACGTATAACTCACTGTGTTTCCATTTCCTTTTCTGTAAAATAACCACACTTAGCAATACTCCTCGCAAGGCAACTTTGTGGAGGTAAAATATGCTATTTTTCATGAAGTCCTTCGAATGCTACTTAGCACACAATGTGCAACGATGACAACCGTTACTCATCCCACATGTCTTCCCAAATGTTCAACAATACCCTAAAACCTGTATAAAATACCTTCTCCCACTGGGAACAAAAAAGGAAGATGAATGCTAAGTTCTACCACAAAGGTGTCTGAGGGCCCAGAGTTCACTCCCCTTCCTCTCTGCAGACTTCTGAAGGAGGAGCAGGGAAAGGAAAAAAGGCTGGGGGCACCACGAGCGTTTCCGTGTGTGTGTGTGTGTGTGTGTGTGTGTGTGTGTGTGTGTGTGTATGTGTTTGTCTTTTGAGACAGGGTCTCTATGCAGTTCAGGCTGGCCTTGAGCTCACTTTGTAGCCCAGGCTGGTCTTGAACTCACACAGAAGTGCTTGTCTGTGGTCCTGCAAAATCCAGAGAATATCCCAACAGTCCACCTGTGAGTGATGCGTTCTTTCTTCAAAAAAATTTTTTCGTAAGTTATACACGAACTGAAGCGATCCTACCTTCTGCTTTCTGAGAATCCTTTATCATGGATGGTAGTTGGGGATACAGGAGGCGTTAATGCATGTTGTTTTGTATCTGGCCAGAACATCACTTTTTGGCCACTTTTAAAAAGGGGGATGGAAACTGAAGATTTTCTTGAAAAGGTTCATAAATTTAGAGTATTTCAGCAAATGTTAAGCCTGTTAAAAGATAACAAAAAAGAAGAGCGGTGAAGTGGTAGTAAAAGAATATCCTCCTTTGCTTTCAGAATCAAAAAGAGCCCACGGTATTTCGAGAACTTCCACAGAAAGGAACATTCTTCCTGTTTCTATAATATACAGTAACACACTAACAGCCAGCACCGTGCTACACGCCTGCCCTGTTCTAAACATTTTATTTGTACTCCAACCCTGAATCTGAAAGCAAACGTGTAAGGTGCGCGGAAACGAAGGCACAAATGGGGGAGACGGAGGTGAAGGAAGGCGAGCTGGGCAACGGGGAGCTGAGGAAACCCACACACGCAGCCGGACCCAGGCGCTTCCGACCCGGGAATCTGCCACAGACCTCAAAGCAGGGGCTCCGGAGAGCGGGTGTCTGGCGCCGCCATGCCGCCCTCCGCCGCTGGCCGCCGGCTTCTAAAACAATGACCAAGGTGCGCGTCTCGCTGACCTGACGAGCAGGCCATAAAAGAAAAGAGGTGGAGAGATATCCCAGTCACTCACCTCCCTAAGAGACACGCAGGCCGCTAGAATGTCCCGGCTACGCGGCGCTCTGGAACTACAATTCCCAGGATGCTGCGCGGCATCGCAGCGCTAATCCCGCCTCCAGGGCGGAAGTACTTGCGCAGATCAGCCTAAAGCACGTATCCCATAATCCTCCAGCAGAGTTAGTTTTCTATTCATTCTCTCAAGTAGCAGGGCTGTCTTTGAACATACAGCCCAGGGTTATACTGTATGGTTTCTTCTTTTCTCAGTGGACCAGTGATCATAGTCACGCTTTGCTGGGGCAAAAGTGCGACAGTGATAGAAAACTTTTGTCCTAGAATCCTGTGCAAGCCTGAGATTCCCACCATCCTGCGATTTTCCTTTTGAATTTGAGTCTCAGTCTTTGAAAGCTCCACCTGGGTTCTTATTTTCTTATTGTTCTCTCGTACAAGTGTTAGAAATATGAAAAACAGAAAAATTATAAAGGAATGCTATCTATAAGCTAATAATAAAATAAGGGGTGATTTAAGCCACCTGCACAAATTTTATTATATTGGCCTAAAGTCACTTGTAACCAAGAAATAAAAAAAGAGATGCAGCTGTTATCCATCACCCAAGGGTTGTTTCACTCAATTCCACCGGAAATTACAAAATTGGTACGTTCTCTGACCGGGTCCAAGAAACTTCCTGAGAGATGAGGTGAGACCCCTTTTTGGCTTGCTCCCCACCCAAGTTCATCGACTTTCCTTATAGAAAAAGAATTTTAGGACACATCAGTGAGAGGTGTAGGCAGTTATTAGAGCTATAAAGTAAAGGAAATAAGAAAGGGATTTAGTATGAGCTACAAGAGTCACTTTCTGAAGGACAGAATCAAGCAGACACACCACAAATGATTCAGAATTTAAATTTTCAGATCATTGTTGTGACCAAAATTCAACTGATATTTGAACATATTGAGCCTGTATTTTCTCTCCTTGCTAAATTCATTTCATAACTTTAGTGACTGTTTAATAGATTCTGTTAGATTTTCTATATAGACAATTATCATAATAAAGATCATCCTACTTATTTTATAATCTGAATCTTTTTTTATTTATTTTTCTTGCCTGACTGCACTGAGTAAATTCCCTACCATAATGTTGAATGGAAACAGTGTAACTAGGCCCTCTTGTTGAGCACCTCCAGGGCCAGGAAAGAGAACCAGCGCTCCCGAGATCCAGCCATGGTGGGACTTAGGCAGCTTATTCTTTCACCCTCTTGGTAAGCAACCCTGGCTTGGGCCAGGAGGAGAACCAGCGGCTCTCATGAGCCTATTACCCCACCTCCACTACCACCACCAGCAGCTTGTTATAGAAGTCTCAGCATCTCATGGGAGCATGACCATATGCAATATACCAAATATGAGGAATTCTCTTCTATCTTCTGTTTGAAGGCAAAGGTTGTTTTCACTTGTTTTGTTATGTTTCTTTTGCTCTATTCATTACTCTCAATTGGTTTCATAATGTTCTGTTTCTGGTTTGATTTTGCTATGCCTAATTGACTGGACAACTATTGTGAAGATAAGGAGATACACCATAGTACCTATTACTACCATCCCAGTATTGTACTGTGAAGTTCTGTACCATTTTCACTGCATTGTCTCGATTGGCTTTGTTCTGTCTTGTTCTGGTGTATTTTCACTACTTTCAAAATAAAATTGAAAAAAAAGAAACAGTGTAGGTAGACATGTTTGGGATCAGGGAACATGAAATAATATTTTACTATGCTGCGGACTGGGTCCCCTGGTCTCAAGGCTGTTGCAACCTTGCTTTAGGAACAGAGACATACAGAACACTGTCTGCCTCCTGATTATGTAAAGAAAGTGTCTAACAGCGCCACTCCTAAGGCAAGGTACCATGTGAGGACAATCTAAAGAATGCAGGCATATTGCTATTGAGGAGTCTTATTCTCCATTTCTCTGTGACACATTTACTACAGTCGCTGTTCCATGAAAAGCACACTGATCCTTACCCTGTGCTTCTCCCTTGCTAATGAGTCAAGTGGATCTACCACAGAGATTGGTGTGCCTGTCCACTAGAGTCAGGTTCCTCCTGGTCCCCTTCTGCTTTGAATATCGTCTTCTGTCTTTATTCTCTGTTGTTACTCCTATAGGTGGCCAAGCATCTGATCAGCCCCCAGCATAGGAATCCTTGCTTTATCCCTGATTTTAGGAGGAGGAAAGCACTAGTAAAAATGATGTTGGCTATCAGTTATATTTGTAGATGTCATTCATTGAATTGAGGCTATTTTTTCCCTCTTTCACTGAAAGTTTTGATCAGGAATAAATGTTGGATTTTATTTTATTTATTTATTTTTGGTACCAGGGATCAACTTCATGACCTCATGCTTACCAGACAGGTGCTTACTCCACTGAGCTCGATCCCAGCCCCAGGATTTTGGATTTTAACAAATGCCATTTCTACACCTATTAATATGATCCTATGGTATTTCATTTGTAGTTGGTTACTGTAATAAATTACAGCACACCAATTTCCAAATGTTACACCAACCTTGGAGTGACATAAAGCTTCCATTTTTTTGAGTCTTTGTGCTAAAGTTCTGTGTAGAATATTTGCATCAGTATTTGCGAAGGCGGCCGGAGATGTGGCTCAGTGGTAGAGCTCTTGCCTGGCATGCACAAGGCCATGGGTTTGATCTCCAACATCACATACACACAAAAATTTTGTGAAGGATCCTGGTTTGTAATTTCCTTATAGTCACTTTGTCTGGTTTTGACATGATGATAATTCTCAAGAGATCCACTTGGCTTTGCCCCATCCCTGCACCCTGTACAGGCTCACGATGGTCTCCTTGTGGTGAGCTAGGGCATCATGGGTCTCACTTCACTCTCTGTGGGTTTATGGTTAACTGGGAGGGGATTTTCAGGAAAGAGTTTATGTAAAGTTTAACTGCAAACTGAAATGGAAGGCTAAAAGGCAAAATGGCATCACATCAGCTCTATCACTTACTCCTTTTGGCTGACAGATTCTACAATATATTTGAGAAGGTAAGTTTTATCAATTCTTTTTATATGTTCTTTGAAGACAAAAGATTTAAGAACTTTCATAAATAACCTGTGATTTAGGCACATAGAAAGTAATGTGGTTATATATAGTATTTGATTTAACTGGAAATGTGATTGCTAATTCGTATACATTTGTATTTTCCTATACTGATCAGGACATTTTTGTGCTATGAGAGAATCCTTTAAAATTGTGTGTATATCACGCTGAAGACATGCTAATTTATTTAGTCACCTAACCATGTTATGATCTTGTAACTTCAAGCGACTTTTTATATACTGCTTCTTTCTTAGAGTTCAACATCCCATCTTTAAAAATTGTACTTTTGTGTACAATCCATGATTATGTCCTTGCAGGTGCCATGGATATATAGTACTATTGACATATACTTCTCTCGGGAGTGGAAATATAGGAACTCACATCAGAGGAATTTGTACAGCAATGTGATGTTAGAGAATTATACTAATTTGGTGTTCTTGGATATCTGTGTGAAATGCTGTAGAATCTGCTTTGTGACTATCTGCTTCTCTGCTGTGTCTTGCTAGTGCAAATAAACCAGAAACATTTCTACCCTATGTTCTCAATTAATTTGAAATTTATTGGGTGGAGATGGGCACCTCCATTCAGCACCTGAATCTCGGTTCTTCAGGAGCCTTTCTGATTCTCTCTCTTTTGCCATATAATTGATTTGTTTTCTAAATGACTGCAGCTTTGAATTCTTGGACCTTCTCTACATAATCAGTCAACAAAAGCATAGTTCATATTGTGTGTATGCTCAGAATGTCCATAAATGCTCTATGTAAGTGGCAGGTGCACCTATACAAATAACATAATTTGGGGTCTTATTTTTCTCTTTACTACAAAAGAGCTATATGGCTTTATATGGTAGAAAGAATCACAACCATTATCATGATGAATGTTATTTTTGTAATTATAGCAGTGGTGCTTTATTTTTGTAGTAGTCTGGTACAATCTAGCCAGAAGTAGAAGCAGTTGTTTAGTTTTTGAAAAACATTTGACCATCTTTCCTCTCCTTTAAAATCCTATTACATTAGATCTTTTGAGAATAATCTCACAGTTACATCATGTGTTTCTCTTCTTTTCTCTTCTGTTTTTCTATTCACTGGAATCTTGACTATTTTTTTTAATTTTATTTAAGGAGAAAAAGAAAAAAAAACAGAAAAAGGGTACAAGTAATACAAAATTTAAAAAATAAACAGTAAGAAATCACTAGTTAATAGATTACATATTCTCATCTTAGAAATAGTTGTTCAAGTTACAAAATTGAAGCATATAAAGTGGACTTTCAAACAGTGAGACCGCAAACAGTTTTGTTCAATGATCCAAAAAACACTCAGTATTATGGTTATCTATCTTATACACTTAAATATATATGCAGTTATAACCTTTAGAGCAACTTCTTTTCTTTTCTTTTGTACAATGACAATTACACATTTTGGGTTTTATTACTCCCACAGTTCTTATTACTTTTTTTTTGAAAAGAGTAAAACCAATTGCAACATATCAGAACAGAGTCAGTCAAATCAAAAGGATGGACATAATAGATAATGTAAAAACAAAATACAAGGTGATCAACAATGGTTACCATACTGCCTCTTGCTATCTTAAGAAGAATTGCCTATATCATCAGTTATAATAAAATTGAACAAAACAGTAAAGAATAAAACCAAAACATTGGAGACATTACAGGACTTTAAAAGAAGATAATAGTCAACCAGCATGGGCGTCATAATGAATCTTATTGTCTTCAGAGTTGTTGCCTATACTTTTGAACTTGGCACTATCAAGCTAAGCAGAATAGGGGAAAATCAGTCAAAACAAGATTGTGAGGGCAATACAGGGTTTCAAATCAAGTTAATAGGAAATCAAAGTAGGTTACTATAATGTATCCTGCTATTTTTAATTTATTTTTCCCTTAATTAAAAAGATAAAAATAAAAAAGTAAA